GCCTCCTCTTGATGCTTTCTTTTACCCAGCAAATATTTCTACATTGAAAAACTATCAGGTGGAGATCTTCTCTAGATGTCTAATCATGGTTAAGAAATACATACTCAAATGAAAGTTTGAGTAAGATGGTGGAGGTCGCGGTGATGCCAGTTGGAGGTCAGATATATAGAAGGAGGTTCATTCCTTCTGTATGTCTGAATTAGAGTAGAGAGAGTCTGTTTTGTTTTTAATCAATAAAGAGACAAAGAGTAGAATACAACAAAATTAAAAAAGTTTCTTGAAAAGAGACAAACTCATTTGCAGTGAATCAAACTCTCACACGCAGCTTCATGCTTTTGGATCCACAACTGAAATGACTGAACTAATTGACTTGTCATTTGATTGATCCCGAGTTTATGATGGTAACATCATGACCAGAGTAAGAATAACTGTAAGAGTCTGATTCATTCAGTTCACCATGCAGCGAATGAAACAGAACTTAAATGCATAAAACGGCAGCTTAACTGTGTTGTAATACTCATCTGTGTATTACAAAAAAACCCCCAAAAAGATAAATGCAATTTCTTCCTTGTTATGAACTGATCTATATCTCTCACGTTCAAAGACACAGTATCACGTGATCTCTATGGAAATGTCGCTGACATCTGCCTGGCTCCGGTTCAGTTTTTGGCATTGTTCCACGACCAGTTTGTATCAGAGAGACGACACTGGGGTTTCAGTCGTGTTTGCTTGTCAACCTCTTGATGCTATGCAGCAGGGCACAGTGGGTTGCCTTTGCACAGAAGGTTCCTGCTAAAACATGTAACTAAAACAGCCAAAACCGAACTAAAAGTTCAGTGCAAATTTGAACGAGTGCTTTCTTTCTTTCATCGTGAGCCGCCGTTGTCACATAGTTACTGAACTCTGCGCTCAGTGTGAGCATTTTGTTTGGGAAATTTTGACACGCACAATCTTTCCACTGTCAGAGAAGACAGTTGGATACACAGAGGATGAATGGACGGTTCAGTGAACAGATGACTCATTGGTCTTTCCTGATTGTAGTCATGTGGAGAAGTCAAGCTGATGTTGTGTTACAGGAAAGTCAGACGCGAAGCTGTGAGTCACGCTGAATGTGTGTAGCGCTCGAGAAGCACAACTTTTCAAACAAACTCCTGCACCCTGACTGCGAAAGATGAAAAACACATGCACGCCACTCTTTGTTCTTCAGGCTCGAGCCTCTCTCTCGCTCTCGTGTTGTGTCGAGAAGGCCAGTGTCATTATACGCATCTGAAAACAGCCAAGGCCGTTGTCGTCTCCCTTTTTTCTGTTGCCATGGTGAAACTGTAAAGATGTATAGTGCTGATAGAAGAGTGTACGTGTGTGTGTACCTATGTGTGAATGTGTGTGTTCAAGAAAAGCAACAGACAACAGAGAACAATAAAATTAAAGGTGGAGAAGACAGAAAATAGGCACAATGTTTTTGTGCATTTGTTGTTAGAAGAAATTGTGAGATGAATAATTGGAAACTGAACAATGGCTCCAATTAGCTTCACTGTGTGAAGTTTGGAGATGAAGCTGGGTTAGTGTCTGTTTTTTTTTTTAATTATATAGCATGTTTGGGTTTGATTATGTACAGAGAGCAGAAAAAGTTAGAAGGCCATGCAATTACTGAAAAAGGATTCATTTGAATGCTGGTGTAAGTGAATACTGAGTACTAGCAGAAGCCAAGGCCACAGGCTTGAAAGCAAAGCGCCTTCTGTATTTTCTTTAGACGGACAAGTGAAAGCAGACCTTGCACATGTTTGTCTGCTTCGCTGAGAGGAATGCAGACCTCAACAAGCTGCACGCACACATCAGCCAGTCACACTTCGATCTGCAGAGACGTCCTTCTGTTCTGTGCCAGTAAATTAAAAAGAGGGCCTGAAAGCCAAGCTGGCTTAAGACACGAGGTGAAAGCAGAGATTTGTTGATCGGTCTGGAGCTCTGGATAAAATATGATGAAAACAAGTTGTCTGTGTTTGTGTTGTACAAGCAATCAATCATGACTGATTGGTGAGGACAAATTGTTTGACTCTCTAATGCTGTCAGGTAAGAATTTAGATTTTCTAAAACCTTGGTTTATGACAACCTCGGCTTCACGTTGTGTTTATTAGTAATTAACATGCCTAATGTAGCAAAGACCTTTAATTCCCACGGCAGCCATAAACAAATGCACGATAGGTCCACATACAATAAAGGCATGAGTCTGTGCTACCTGATTAGATAGAAATCCAGGCATTTACATGTTATTTCTGTCTATTTGATAACCACAACCTTGCTAAACAAAAATATATGTTAAGTAAATGAAACCTCAAATAATAAAATATTGGCAGATTTTTCTGTGGCTCCACAGTTGCAGACGAGAATCCCCTGAGAAGGAAAAACCCAGCTATATCAGTTGGATTCATTATTAATTATTACAGGCAAATCTTAGTTTTATTTTTATTATTCATTTGAGTCTGTGGATGCTTTTATTTCTGGCTTCACGTGAGTGTAGATTTTTTTGTCATTGAGTAGTCCTGTAATATTTAAGTCCCCCTATTAAAAAAAGGCTCCCTAATGACTAAATAGCACAATTATGCTCTTTTTAATTTAAAAGGAGGTCTAGGTGAGAGGCCTTCACTATTTGTGCTCAATACACTGCAAAATATGCATAAAGCGCTCAGCTTTAGTCATTAGATTAAAGAGGGGTTTTTATGTGCTGGCCTGTATTACCATATAAGAGGCGGGTGTGTTTGTGTGGAGTGTCTCGGGATTGCATTGAAGTGTATGACGGCTTCGTTCCTCATGCTGCACACAAGTATACCTTGGGAGTGTGCGCGTGTGTTGTTGAAGTGGCTTGTTCAGCTGTGTTGAAGTGTACTGTCTTTGCTTTTTATGTAGCACATTTCTGTGCTGTTATGAAAAAGAGACATTTACACTTTCTTTTCCAGTGACATTATATTGCTTTCAGTTTTTCTGCACGTGACTTGTTGTCCATAAGTGGCACAGATGTTCCTGTACGCTATCTCAGCTGCTTGGTTGTGCCTCAGTGCGCACGCAAGGTCCACATACAGTAAATATCCTGCTACTAAGTAGTACAGTCTGCATGTCCTATCTGCTTTGGTAGACTCCTGCCTCTATGCGTCTGGTGCTTAGGGCCTGTTCTTGTGCTGCCGTGGTCAGAGCCTCTGTGCTGTCCTTTTAGCAGTTCTTTTCTGGCCACTGGTAAGATTTCTTGATGTCAGCCACTTCCTCTATTTGTCAGTGGTTCATCCCATTCAGGGCCTTGGTCATGTAGATTGCTCCTCTTTCTGTTCCTCACCGTCTGTCTTCAGCTGCCTGAGGCGTTCTTGGAGCAGCTCTTCTTGGGCGCCTGATATATTCACAGATGCTCCATGTTTCATTCTGGATTGTGCCTCTGACACTCACTAATCCTCGCCCTCGCCATTTGCAGTGCTCATAGAGCCTCAGGGTGCTGGACTTCCGGTTGTGAGGAGTTTTTGTTTCTTCACATCAGTGGCATCTCTCTCCTCCTGTGACCAGCTTGGTACGACAGTGGGGTATGTGCTGAGCAGTAGAGAGGATGTATTGATGGCTTGGATCTTATTCCTACCATTCAGCTGGCTTTTTAAAACCGTCTTATCTTCTGGAAGTACTTGTGGGTGACCTTTGTGCATCTTTATCATGGTTCCCCTTGGATTGTGGGATACCCAGGTACTTGTAGCTGTCCCATATATCTGCTATTCCTCCTTCTGGTGGCTCCACCCCTTCAGTCCAGGTAATCTTCTCTCTCTTTTTTACCATTTGGCCAATATACCCACTTATCCAGGCTAAATGGCATCCTGATATCCTCGCTATCGATCCTGATGAGGAGGATTGGTGAGTGTGCGGTGACTGATGGTCACTCCAGTCCTGAATTTATATCTGTATCCAGTCTTAGTGATGAGCAGGCTTACAGGACTGACGCCTGTGCAGAACAGCAGTGTGAACAGTGATATATTTTGCATTTGATGGTGACACGTGTGGTTATTACCAGGTACTTCTTGGTGAGTTTGGATGTTGGCTTTCTGCTCATCCATAGTTCTCACATGTGTGGCATATACCCTCTCATTGGGTCGGCATATGTGATACATAATAGCATCTCTGCATCAGTTCTATATTATCAGCCGTTGTCCATGGATGCTTTGTTCCAGTAGTCTACTTCCCATCAACATGTCTTGGTTCCTCCACACCTGACGTACATATATATTGCCGTATAGCAAGTGGAATGTTTTCTTGATGCTACTCTTGTACTTGTTTTGAACTCAGAAAAAAAAAACAAAAAAAGGAAGAAGCGCTGTGTTAGTGTTTCAGCGGCTGACAGTGTAGCAATGCACCGTTGCGGCATGTTTTCCAGTGGCTCGCCCAGCCGAAGTGCGTCAGGAGAATGACATTTGTGATAATCGCTGTTTGATGTTTGAGATGTTTACTTGCGAGTTGACAGGTTATTATGTGTGGTACACAGATGGAAGACGCAGCGCCATACTGCATATTAAGATCTCAGTGTTTGCTGTGTTCTGCTTTTATTTCATCAAATTACTTGGAAGGGAAGTTCTTTACACACTAAGGTTGTCTTTTTTTTTCTGTAGATGATTGTTTCCAAAATAAATCAGTTTTTTAACGTTAATAAAACTTGGACATACTCAGTGTTAATATTTAGGTAGCAGTAGGATGAATGGATATTTGCTTAGACCCACTTAAATATGCATAACAAGTCTCCTGATAATTTTTCTTATAAGTTATTATAGCAAATAAAATTGAGGGTTAATCAGCCTATGACTTCCTCCCTGTGTCCATAGAGTTTAAAGGATGTGCCACTTGCTCAGGTGGAAGATACATGTCCAGTGAATTTAATCAAAAATATTATTTAATATAACCTGCAAAACAAAACAAAAAACATTTAAGAACCAAGTTTTCTTACTGTGCTGAAGGTTTTTGACATCTCTCTTTGTGTCTCTCAGGTTATTATGGGAAAAGCTGCACTGACGCATGTCATCTGAATCCATGTGAGAATGAGGCTCACTGCCACAGGAAGCCCAGCTCTTCCCATGGATACATTTGTGACTGCGGAGACAACCACTACGGGCAATACTGCCAGCACAGGTACACAGGCAAACGCCCACGCAACTGATGTAACATTTGAACTTCGGGTTACCTGCGAGGTGCCAACACAGACTACAACTCTTTGTAGTCTCTAGCCCACTTAAGCTCTGTTCAGTTATGTGCGTGTCTTGGTAGCTTTAGTTCAGCCTTGTTGCCCCACATCTCCAGCGTTCCATGTAATCCACTGTGGGATGAGCGGAGTCTCAAGTCAAAACACACACACTCAGAGGTTATCTGTGGTTATGTTAAACTGTGTGAAGTAACCGTAACCCTGACCTGACCCCGTGCCTCTTTCCTGCCTGTGAAATCCACACAGCTTAAGATTTATCTCATGAGCTGCTCATTGTGCGAGCTTTTGTCCCAGATGAACATCTTTGATCTGGTGTGTTTTTCACAAGGACACACATTTTCACCTGCAAATGAAATATCGTAAAGTTTTTCCATATATTTGATTGGCAGACAGTGAGAGTTGTATGAAAATTAAATCAGCACTAAGACTGGATTTATAATAATTTTACAAAGATTATGCAACAAGTCATATGCGTGCACACACATATATGGCTCATTAAGCATAGGTGGTCATGAGAGTACCTCTTTTTCCTTTTTTTTAAGTTGCCACCATGCACTGAAGGATGATAACATCAGAAATGGATCGACATTTTATATTATGGCTACTTTTATTTGCAGATTTGCTGATTTATATCATTTTAAGGTTCAGGTTTTTATGTCTCATCAGAGTACCTTTAAAGTACTATTTATTTTAGCGAGTGAAATGACATAGTGGGCTTGTTATATTTTATAGAGGACTACTTCTGTTAGTCATCGTCACTTTAGGTGATGATTGACAGCTATTTACCAATATCCATATCACAATAATGAGCCAGTTCCTATAGAACAAAAGTTCAGACTAACATCTAAAAATTAAAAGTTTTAGCTGTTTTAAAACGTGAAAAATAATCTTAAATGACTTGCCAGTTTGAACACATTTCTCATTTAGGAAAGACCCCTACAAGGCATATATTCATCAAAGCACAGCTGGAGCAGCTTCCGCTTAAGGCCCTGTCTTTGTTTCTGTGCACCCTGAGTTATGATCAGACAAAGTATTTTGCATTTAAGCTGCCAAAAATACACAACAGGGAGAGTCAACCCTGATATTCAGTTACAAATCACTCACATCTGAATTTTGCTCTCCGAGACTTTCCACAAGGTGCAATTAAGAGATGTGCACAACAGTCTGCATTAACTGCGAGAAGCACTCATCTCTTCAGTGAACCATTAGACGCTAGACATTAGAGTTTAGGAGGAAAGCACATTAGCTGAGATGTGAGCAAATGAGAAGTGTAGTGAACATAAAAAAAGTTATTTTTATGGAGTTGAAATTCCGTGGCAGTTTAGTAGTTTGAGAAAACAGGTTTTAAAACGAATCGGTGAGCTTAATAAATGTTTTAAATGGGTGAAGGAGGCTTTCCTGTTTAATATGCGACTGTTCAAAGTGTGGCTGTGCCAGCAATAAGAAACATTTAAAGTTTGTGGCTATGTAGGAAGTCTAATGCACCTTGTAAACCTTATTGTCAAAAGTTAATCGATATATTGTGTATAATCATATCTTGTTTCTGTGTCTCAGCAAAAGTGCAAGTTCTTTGTTTGTACATCTACCTCCACATGCCAGTATTAATATTTCCTCCCAGTTCGATCCATACCTTTGCTTCCTTCATTTCATACTTGTTTCTTTCATCTCTTTGTTCCCACCAATTATTTGGAAATCAGAGGGAATGTTGAATCCTTTGAAGAGCGATTAAAAGTTTTTGACAGGCTGTGTTGCTCAGTTGGTGTTTTTCTCTGTTATCTGATCTGTCTTGTGTTAATGACTCTGTGTCTCTGTGTGCGTGTAGGATTGATCATCAGTGTCCCAGGGGTTGGTGGGGATCTCCAACCTGTGGACCGTGCCACTGTGACACCAATAAAGGCTTCGATCCTGACTGTAATAAGACCAGCGGACAGTGTCAGTGCAAGGTAACCAGGAGAAACACACAAAGTACATACAACGATGTTGTGAAAGGTAGTAGAAATACTTTTTTTCCCTCTGGGTGTGTCGGTTTCCTCTGGATATTCCTCCCATAGTCCCTAAGCTGGATAAGGTGTTAAGAAATTAGATGAATGGATGGGTAGTTGTTGTATTACTTAAATCCTGGAGCTGCTCAAAAAGTAATTACAACACATTTTGCTATGGAACCAAATATTTAAAATTGTCATGTTTAAAATTTATGATGTTTAGATTAAAAATACCTAATTAGTAAACTGATCATCTGCAGACCACCCAGTAAACGCCTCTCAGGTTGATAGGCTATCCAGATGTATATATAACAGCAACCACGATATGTTGATCATCCATAGATATTGAAATTTCCGATCCGTAAATACACGCGTATTGATATACTCCTCTGTAGCTGCTATATTGAATCCTGTTTTATCTAGGCTTTAATCCTGAAGATAATCTTTAATCTGTGTGATTTCCCCTAAATCCACACCTCGTGACTACATGAAGCACACATGATCACAGATCGGGGTCCAAGGGTTAAATTGGGAGGTTTTACTGAACAATCTCTATATTGAATTCCAGCTGGCAAGTAGTGTGTAGGTGGCATAAACAATGAGTGTGTCGGAAATGTGGTGCCTTTTCTCTATAGCCGATCACCATGTTGATTTGACCACGGACAAAGTAGTTAACAACAATTTAGATTCAATTTGAAGTTACTTTATTCTTCTCATTGTTGTGCTAACACATCAATGCTTTCATTTAGCCTACGTGCCAATCATGTCGAGGCAAGTATTGCAGTCGATATCTTAAAGTAAGGTTTAAAATGAGATCTTAACAGATTTATCTTTCTATACATTAACAGTTACTTTGGGAAGTCCTTCAGAATTACATTACATACACTGGTGATGCTGCACCATCATCCTCTAACCTGGTATTATTCTTGTCCTTACTGCAGAGTTAGGTCCCGTTCACATAGTCCTAGACACTGGCTGGCAACCTGCCTGGCAACCACCAGTTGCTAGGGAAAAATGTATAATTCCCAACCAGATGCAAGTGGTTGTTGCAGGTATCTGGCAGATGCATTGAAAACAACTACTAAAATTGCAGTGACACAGGCCTGGAGACTGGTGAGTGACCCAATCATAGTCTGTTGGGAAGATGTCTGCAACTTGTCTGCAACTACTTGCTAAGCTGTGAAGAGTGCTACGCAAACAGAAAGTGGGGAATGTTGTGTCTTTTGAAATGTGTTGGTTTCAGAGGTAAAGAGCCAGCTTTTGTTTTAAAGGTGAACATTCTTACTTCCAAGTTCCACTACCGCTTGATGGTACACAGACAATTCAGCGTCTTCCAGACTTGGAAGACAACAGACAACTTTGGCAATCTGCTAGCGATCAAAGCAATCACAAGAAAGTTTTGGTGCTGTAACAACCTGCAAACACTTGCCACAAATTGTTTCTAGAGACCAGGCGGGTTGTCATCTCTAGTGGTGTGTGAGGCAAAGGCATCAATATCCTCTGTATTCTCAAGCTGTGCAAACTAAATCATCAACTGTAATGCATTGATTGATGCTCTTCAACTCTCTCTTATACATGGCTCCCCATCTGATTCGCTGTATAAATCTCACAGTCATGCACGCTGATGTAATTGTAACACGCTGATAGTTTGTATGGTTGAGACTCATGTGTCTGTCCATGTGTATATTCAGGAGTTCCACTTCCGTCCGCGAAACTCGGACACCTGCCTGCCGTGCGACTGCTACCCAGTGGGGTCCTTCTCGCGGGCATGCGACCCAGAGTCAGGACAGTGTCAGTGCAGGCCTGGCGTAATTGGTCGTCAGTGCAACTCGTGTGACAACCCTTTTGCTGAGGTCACAAACTCAGGCTGTGAAGGTGAGAAAAAGAAGCAGGTCAACTGAGTTTGTAATTTGTGTTTGTTTATTTTTAGCTTATTTTCTTTTAAAAAAAAGAAAAAAAGAAGAAGCAAGCACCAGCGGGGGCTCTGAACTGTGTGTGTGTGTTTATTGTCATATTTTTGCATCTCACTGTTGCCTGTTGAGATTACTCCTGTTTACACAACAGGGGGCTACATCATTCATTCATTCATCTGCTGATGTGAAGCTCCGTATCATATCTGAGGCGTCACCGCTTGCGGGTGAAAAAAATCTAATAAATAAATAAAAAAACTTCAGTAATTCTAAAAACTGCCTGAAGGCAATATTAGTGTGAGGGAGTGAATCACTCGTAGAAAACGATTTGCTTTATGTTAAAAGTGTGTCACTGTCACAGCTCCATTGTAAATGAAAAAATCAGCTGCTTTTGTTCCGAGTTGGATTTAGTATTAAACCTTTTCTGCGAAGTCGTAGTTCCCAAAAGTTGTCAAAACAATTTCATCATCCGTGTATCTTTTGTGGGACTGTCAGTAGTGGCAAACTCCAGATGACTTTAAACAAGGTGTATATTTTTTAGGATGGGTTCGAAAGCCTTCAGACTAAATCATCTGTAGAGACAAAGACATGTGAATGACAATAATGAGCCACTTCTGAGCTTTTACCCTATTTACCTTCCATTGTGTAATCACAGGATTCCTGTTTCTCTGCTGTTCCATCTTTTTAAAAATGGTCATGTTTGTCAAGTCTCTGCCTGAGCCCAGAGACACAAAGAAACTGTTAATTATAGTCATCATCTATTTAACAGCTTCCAGTTGATTCTCTCTCCCTTTTTCCCCTGTTCTGTGCAGCTTTGTCAGTTCCAGCGTCTCCACTTGTAATTACTTCTTTTAGTGAGACGCTGCTGTTTTATTCTCTCACAATCATTTTCATTTTCTTCTCCGCAAGTCAAAAGAAAAACTTAAAAAAAAAAAAGTATTTACATTGTGAGTCATATTTTGTCATGATTTTAAATGGAAAAGGTTGTTGAGCTGATAAGGATTTTAATTGGTGTTCTCTCTCCCGCAGTCATTTATGATGGTTGTCCAAAGACCATTACTCAGGGGATCTGGTGGCCGCGTACCAAGTTCAACCTGCCTGCCGCGGTGCCCTGCCCCAAAGGCTCTGTCGGTCTGTATACATTAACACAAATGCATTCAAACACATTGATTTTTCATGCCAAATCATTGTGAGGAGACATTTAAAAAAAATTCATGTTTCTCCTCTTTGCAGGTGCTGCCATTAGACACTGTGATGCCGAGAGAGGCTGGTTGGAGCCGGACCTTTGCAACTGCACTTCACCTCCATTTGTGGAGCTCAGTGCTGCTGTACGTAGACCACTAATGACAGTAATACAATAACTAATTCACTTTTTAACTCCATTAAAAGTTTGTTCTAAACATCTAAAATCTAAATTTCTCCTGCAGGAATATTTCAATTAAGTTTTTAATTTTATTTATTTATTTTTAAACAGTAACAGGAACCAATATTTTTAATATGCAGCTGGAACGTTTTCTCAGAGATTTCCAGTTTAATTCCTGTCTTGAAGGAATTCTTCAGTCTGAAAATTATTCAAGGACAGATTTGCCTGTTGGACAGACAGCTGAAATGCTCACGCATGCAAATATGTCATCTGGCATTAAATCTCTTCATTCATTCAATAAATATTTTTCCCGCGTCTGGATGTTTGTGTAGCTCGATTCCCTGGAGCGCAACGAGACAGAGCTGAACACCATCATGGAGAAGAAGCTTGCCCACCAGCTCCGTGATGTAACCGAGGCTACCACCCGGCTCTATGGCAATGACCTACAGATAGCTGAGCGGCTGCTGTCACGCCTACTTACATTTGAGACCCAGCAGAGTGGCTTCGGACTCACCGCCACCCAGGACGCGTACTTCAACGAGGTAAAAATGACATATTTTTGAAAATTCCTTTATACGCTCCTGTTAGAGTCTTTACAAAGACGCACTCTGCTTGAGTCTGTGTATTTTAGACTGATGTATCAGTACTTGGGGAGGAGAGATGCGATGAGGATGCAGGTGTTGTGAAAAAAGGAAGACATTTGGCATTAACAATGGCTGTTTACTGGTTCTTGATGATTCATCCTTTCTGATCTAAATCTAAGTGACGTCATGGAAAAAGTGTGGAAAGCAGCATTCACACAGACGATACAAACAATACAACGAACACCATCATGAGCAGTTCAAGGACAACTTTTAGGTATATTGATAAAATGCTGCATTTAGTGAGCAAAAGCAGGACTGTTTAAAATACAGATGAAGTGCAAGCTGTGAAAGGTTGTTGGAAGAATCCAGGTGTAAAAGTAAGGGGTGTTTTCATGTGTGAAAATCACGTTTTTCTAAATCTCATTTTATTGGCAGCTTTTATCAGTATGTCAATAGATTTAAGTGTAACTTAACAAGCGGATCACTAAGGAAGGCGTCCAACTAACTACTCTAAATGACCTCGTGAATATGATGCGAAATTATTAATAATATCTGCTCTCTTGGTGCAAAATTAAATATTACAATAAAACATTAAGTTGCGAGTTAAAATCTTTGTGTTACTATACTCCTGCCGCTAGCAACTACAAATCTGCACAGAATCTCCCAGAGGACATAAAATAGCTGGTGTTATTTAAAACTCTAGCTATGATTGATACACTCTACTATTATAGGGTACAGACCCAGTGACTAGATATTGCAACGAGATGTCTTTTCTCAGAAATTTGGAAGTAATGTTGCTATGGTGATGCGGTGACAGTAACTCATGAAGTATTGCAGCGCGTCATCTCCGCATATTAACTGACAGGCTCTCGTTTTACCTGATGCCGACGCCTTCAGCTGAGGATGCACCAGCTGACAGGCGATAATTTAAAAATTGTTGGCATTCTGACATAAAGGCGGTAACCAGACATCTCTGTTTTATTTTGCCAGAAATATTTAAGCTTATATATCAAACTCAGCTGACAAGGAATGAGCTGCTCCTGTTCCATACATCACGAGTAAGTGGCTGAAGAATCCAGGAATGCAGGACCCCCTCCTGCTAGCTTCAGCCTTCCAAACTGCTCGCTGACATGAAACTGACAGCTCACTCGCTTATAATACTTTACTGCGGTAGTTACACTTATTGTAATTCATGAGGTGAATTTAAATTGTAATTCCTGTTGGAACATTTTCTCTCCACGTCACTCAAACGGTTGTAAGAGTCGTAAAGTATAATGTGGGATTTCTGCTAGAAACAAGCGATTTTTCTCATGGTTATTAATTTAAACCTCACGACATTTTTCCCTCTTATGTCTTTAACTGATGAGTTGGCTCCTGCTTTTTAATGTTTCAGCCAGGGTGTGATTTATTCACTTTAATTAGGGACCTTAGTGGGCAATAAAAAGATGTATTTCTCTCCAGTACAGTATCCACAGCAGACAGCAGGATGCGATTCATAATTCATGCTAACAGGGAGGATTTTTAGCCACCCGATGGTAACCGTGAGCAGTAGAAAGTGAGTGGTTGTATTTTATTCTCCCGTAGTCTGAGCACAAAATGTCATTTGTGCCTATTTAGATGTTAAAGTTCCGTAATGCAATCTCCCCCAGTGTTTTCCCACTGACATTTGCTTTGTTACTCCACTGATTCTGCATAACGCGCTTGAACTAGTCCGAGTTTAAGGTTCTGGTTTTTTGTTACATCTGAGCCACAAATCTGGTGGCTAGGAGACAGAAAGTGCACGGCAACACAAAGGAGTAAGACTTCATCCTCCCTTCACTTTTCTTTTTATAAAGTCGTCTTAAACCTGTGTATATGAATTTGTTGTGGCACTCAAAAGGTATCTTAGCAAACACAGTCCACACACACACACACACACACACACACACACACACACAGTTGCTATGGCAACTCAGCAGCAGTATTAATGATGTCCTAGAGTGAGAGAAAACAAAAACCTTTTCCTGCCTGTCCTTTCATTTAACCTGACAGTAAATCAGAAACACGGCCATTAGGGCTTCGTGATTGGTTAGCTGGTTTGTAGTGTCACAAAGCCGCTATACGGTGTGTTGCCACATTAGCACATTAATGCCCGGCTCACCTGACTCGTAACCTCGGCTTCTGGCTGTAAAACAGTTGTGCTGCCTGCATCTGGAGGTAATGAGGTAGCTTTTGGTTTATTATGGCATCACTAAAGGAAAGCTACAGTCCGACCTCTTTTTTTTTTTCTAAAGAATAGAAAATTTATATCTGATGATACTTGACACATCATTTTAAACAACAGCAGCTATTAGGCCAAGATGAACAGGTAATGCCTAACACGGTTTCTATAGTAACCCAGCGGCGGTAATAGAGCCCCGTGGCTTCAGCAGAGATGAAGGGAAGCGGGGAGGAAAGTAGAGTTTTCACATCAGGTATGTAGCAGTGAACGAAAGAAGATGAAAACCTTTCATGTTCAAGCTGTGATCAAATCCATCTGAATGCTGCTGTACTGATAGGAGACGGCTGGGGCTCACGTTTTGTCAAGTACGTGACAGCACAGCGACAGAATCTTTAAAATGTACTTGTAGTTTCTCTTAAATGAAGCGAAAGAATTGCCGAAGAGCTGAATTGAAAAAGACAATTTTTCAAAATTGCATGTTGCAAAAAAAAAGATAGCCCCTCTTTCTCTCTCCGTCATCCATGCTGCCTTTGTGAATCTCTCTTTCTGGATTCCCGTCATCCGTGGCCTCTATACTGTTTTACTCTCCTTTTCTTTCCCCCCTTCACCCTCTTTCTTTTCAATAAAGTTTATATGGGCTCTCGCCGGGTCTTGAGCTCAAGAGCCGCCAATTTTCCAATTTTCCAGTTTTCTCTAAGTGCAGGTGGAAGTTTAACTGGGTGTGTTTTCTAAGAGAACAGCAAGCATTTTCATTCAGAGGATAATTTATTCATAGCAGTCAGAATCTCTCACTACATGTGCTGAAACATTTACTGCACAGAGGTCATCTTCAAAAGTAGTTGTAGTCACATACAGGTAATGCTGTACGTGACTCGATAACCTCTAACGGATGATAAGAAGGGAGCACAAAAAACTAGAACAATGCCATTTTTTATGGTACCGTCACATTGTTCATTTTGTCCTTTCTCCCACCCCCAACAATCCTTTTCTTCACTTCATTTTTCCATCTCATCGCAACTTTCCACCTCCCTACCTCTGTGCCTTCTGCATGTGACTTCTCATCTCTCTTATTCTCTCTTTTTTCTCCTCTTTTCACTCACTCATGCACAAATTCTCTTCTTGAATCTTTCTTCATCTCCCCCAACAATTCATGCATTCTTTCTATGCTGCACTGCATGTACTTGTACCTTGTTTGCCTGACGGTTGTGTCATACGTTATTTTTTCCTTTCCTTTCTCCCCAGAGCAATATATTACACTGCAGTACTTTATTAGGTCTGACTGCAAGGGGTCCTCCCTGTCTCTCTCTTTCTCTCTTTTCCACTGATATTTCTCTTTGTTCAGCCCTTCTTGCAAGGCTGTGCAGTCCAGACTAATCTCTAAGAGGCCTCCATCCATAGTCACCAATTCTCCGTAAAAAAGCAATGACATGGGAGCACTGACAGTGGTGAAGCTTGTTCTAATTGGGGTCAGGACTTAGCTTGGATTTTTTATCACAGTTGTGCTCAAAGCAGCCAGACAAACGGCGTGACGATGCAGCGTACTTCTCATCTGCTCAACCAGAACCAGATTCTCGTGTTCTGACCTTTAATTCCTCATTTTTCTCCCACTGTTAAACTTTATTGTCTGAATTGTCTCCCTGTGTGCCTTCGCCGTCTCTTATTTCCTCTATCTTTTGTCTTTCCTCCACAATTTTGTGTTTTATATCATTATGCAGTTAAATTTGAAATTGTGTTTCATTATTTATCTTAAAAAAACAACAACATAAAAAACAAAAACAGTGCTACCAGCACAGGGACATATTTATAGATTTGATTTATGCTGTTATAAAGACATGCAGGTTTTCACACAGTCAGCTTGGCTAAAACTAAACGTGATCCTGCCTGTTTACTATGTTTAATGTAAAGTCTTCAATACTGTAAAACCTTAAATTAGTTTCATTTATATAACTTAGGTGTAAGGTGTAGGTGTATCAGTATCACTATAACAGTAATTTTGTAGGAATGGGCTATTACCTTGTTTTTAAAAATATAGAGAATATAAATTATTTCTTTACAGGAGATCATACAAACAATGTCTTTCAGATGCAATGTGCACCTCACAAAAAAGGAAAGAAAAATAAGAAAACATTAAAATGTTTGTCATAACCCAACCACATGGCAAAAATACAACAATACAAAATGTGTTTATTCAAATAATTATTCATTAATGAAAATATGTTTGGTGCAAACTGAATGTATACCAATCAAATTCCATTAATGTTTCAATGTTTCACATTGTACTTAAGTAAAAAAAAAATAATAATAATAATAATAATTTACTTCAAATCTTGGGCATACCCAGGACATGCTGGAGTGATTTCATCCCCTGGCTGGCCTGGGAAAGCCTCGGTGTTCCCCTGGATAAGTGGAAGAAAATGGATGGATGGATGCATTTTGGGATGCATTTTTGAGTGCAGTCTCAGCAGGCTTCAAGTAGTATTCCAGTCATATGCAAACCAACATAATCTGTTCCCTGAAAGTCTCAGAACTACTCCGGTATAACAGAAGTCATCAGAGGATTCAGTGTTGTTAGCAGAAAACACCATAGCTGATTGTCCTCTGGCCACAAGTCAACTTTTATTTGAGTCTTTAACCAGTGTTTAAGCAGCTGTCTGCCTCCGTGTAGGACCAAAGAACTTAAATATATATATTTTGTCATCATCCACAGTCTCAGACCGATAATATTTAACATTTTTTAACGGTTGTTATTAACTGTGAAGCTTGTGTGGCCACTGTCCTCGAAGACAGTGCAGCAAAGCACCTCCTAAGAAGCCATGATACTTTTATGGGCTCTTTTTCTGTTTTTATTTCTGCTTTTATTAATTCTTTATCCTTCTGCTGGTGCCAGAACGTCCTGCGAGGCTGCAGTGTGCTGTTGGGTCCGAGCACCTCTGGGCTTTGGCGTACTCTCGCTCAGAGTCAGAACCACATCCCAGGCGGCGGTCCGGGAGCGCTGACGGAGCTACTGGAGCAGTACGCCAAGAATCTGGCTCAGAACATGAAACTCACCTACCTCAACCCGGTGGCGCTGGTTGCTCCCAACATTGGTGAGTTTGGACTGCAGATGCAGACATGCAGACACAATACAATAATTAATCACCGATCACACCCCAAAATTAAACGAGACAGTAATGAAATCTCAATCTTTGCAAATGATATGCTTCAGTTTTCTCACAATACTGTAAATCGCTGCTGTGAAATCAGCGATAATGAGTCATTGTAAAGCATGGGGATGAACAGCACTAATGCGAGTGATGATGATGGCACAGCCAGAATGTTGGCAGCACCACAGAGAGATGGATTTCACACTCCCACTCAGACAGCAGCTAATGCTTTCAGCACATCCACAACCCCCCCGAAGCACCGCAGCACTGGCCAACATACAACATACACAAAAAACACATACACGCTGGCGTTTAACATCACTGGACATGCAAAGCTCCTAAGAGTCAAGGTTATTAAAGTTTCATTTAGTTTCTGCCATCCCTTCACTTGTGCTTTTTGCTCTTATCCACATTTTTCTGTCACTTTCACAGTGTCAAAAAATGCTGTCAGATAATCTGCACCGCTTACAACAAGACGAGGTGTTGAAGTGTCAACAGCAGCAGCAGCTTTGGCAGGGATCAAGCCAGTGACAATGAATTTCACACTCGGTTAATGCTCTTAACTGCACACGCCGATTGAATTCCTTCAAAATACTTTACACCCAAAAACTCATCAAAGTTTCCAGCTGCTGAATTTTGCCTCAGCAGCTTCTTCTTGTGTACCTTTGGTCACACAGTCACTGTAATCTCCTCATGACGTACCTTTGTTGGCTAATACTGACTTACCACTTGAACTTCTATATGTTTGTGAATCTCTTTGTTAGTTATACTTGCGTTTGCTCTTGGATTCTTACAAAATCCAGTTATTTAACTCTGAATCGAAGACAAGGCGACAAGAACAGAGCAGCAGTGAAGGCAACACTAATGAGAAACATGACTGATGCAAATTTTTTCGCTCCAGCAAACACACAAACACGTGGCTGATGCTCCAAGCTAAACGGGTAAAAATGAATAACATGGGAGAGGACGTGGACGAACTTGATGGGTTGTCAGCCTTCGGTTAATTTCGATTTTTGCTGCTTTTGTTGATGATGCTGGCAGTAAAACCCCATATTTGCAATCTCTTACATTTTATTTAACAAATAAACCACTTTACATGAATATTATCGGATAAACTCTCATGCCTCTCACACCAACAGATTGAGTGCTGTTTGCTGGATCAAATGTTTCGTCGTTATTGAACGCTCCATGCTGACGTACTTCCACTCTGTGTGCGTGTTTGGGAATTTTTATATTCTCTCGCTACCTAATGATTCACTAATCCATAGGGGAAAAAATATTTTTTAATGACACAGCTAAAAATGACAATTGTTCTATGACTGAATCAAAGAGGAAAAGCTAAACTTAAATAAAACAGATAAATCAAGTAGCTGTATGAGCTGTCTCGTATTACTTTTACTGACTCAAGGTCACACGGGTCTGGCACGCAAGCTGCTTTGATGCTTAATGGCACAGAAGAAGATAAGAGTGGTGGTTGGGGCTGCACGATTATGGCTAAAATGATGATCACAGTCATTTTGTCCAGTATTGCAGTGAATAAACAGAACACTGGTTCAGCATCTTCACATCTCTACAAATCTCTGCACAGAAACAAAATTATTCCTCCTCATTTCCTTAAATTCAGTGCAGCTCTTTGAAGAAAAGAAAAATTTAACTGTACCAAAACACAAAATTAAATCAAGAGGTCTTATTCCTTTTAATCTCTTTAAACTACCATTTGCAGACAAATATGTGTTTGTACATATACACCATTCATTGTACCTGCATGATGGATGTGAATAAAACTCATATTGCCTTTATAAAATAATTAGGAAAAATACCATATCGTTTGTCCAGTGTGTCGACAATGTTATTGAAGCCTTCGTTACTCTTACTGTCTTCGGCCGTGTTGGTGATTTCAGTTGGTCAGTGTGAGCTGGATGGATGCATGAGCTGCTTTTATGGATGTATGAGCTGATGTTGAATGAGTTGTGTCAGCAACCATTGCCTTGTTTTCTTTGTCCTGCATTCATCATGCTGCAGTTTGCGGTGTTTTTCCAGGGGGTTGAATGTTGATTTGAATTTGAAGTGAAATTTGAATTTCAACGTAGTGTTACTCATGGGTGCATGGAACAGCTGTGATTGGCACATACAGACACACTGTCAGGCACTAATTTAGGGGGCGCTTGATTTGCTTTTGCTTTGTATTTTAATTGGCAAAGCAGTGTTAGATGGTCATATATGTAAAAAGTTTGAGATAATGAGGTCAGCATATGTAAAAGTAACCCATCAAGCTTCTGATTCCTCTAATTGCTTGGATTTAATTTTTTTTCCTACTTTTTTTCCTAGTCAGTTAGCTTAATGTTGGAGAATATTCTTGATATAGTTTGTGTACTAAGAGAAACATCATGGGTAGTATTATTAGGAGACAGTTTATCCCATAATGATTTCAGGGTTATTTCCAGGTAATGACCCAGTGTGGGGGTTCTTTCATTATTCTTCTTCTTGATGGATGCATTTTTGTAAACTGGACAAGTTTAAGATGAGACACTTTATTTTGTACACAACAGTGACATGTTTTTTAAGAGGTGTTGTAGAGAGCACAGTGTGTTCAGTTCTGCTCCAGTTAATCAGCCATTGCAAAAAGTAATATGCAGTGTTGGTGGGTTTTTTTAAACATATTATTTTTGTTAAAAGTAATGCAGTATGTTACTTAATTATTTGCCAGAGCACGTAAAAAGTTACACTACTCATTACATTACTTTCTCCTACACAAAGAAAATTTTAAAACGAACCCAAAGAGACTTCAAAATAATCACCACAGTGAAATATGAGCAGTTATAAATGGAGGCTGTAAGCTGGACTGCCCATCACTGTCTTTGTTACGTGTTGATGATCAGGCTCTGGCTGCTGTACTGGGGTCAGCATGCACTCACGTTTATCACCAGTTTGGGTTCTTGGCTAGCTTTGTGTTAGCGTGCTATTTGTGCAGATGCTTGCAAAAAGCTAAAGTTTTGTAGGCAGTGTAATGTAGTTGTTTGCAAGTAAAAGTAATTTCCATATCTCTGCTGTTAATCACTTCACTGTTTTCCACCTGCACACGAACTGAAAGGAGCTCATTTTAATGCAAGTGGACAGGATGAAAAAAATGTGTTTGTTTGAGGAGTTTTTCCTTCTGTCTATTTGTCCACAGCAATGCATTACATTACTGTGTTACTGAAAAATGTAATACAATTACAGTAACATGTTTCTTTGTGGCATGCGACACCCAAAATATGGTGAAATAGGGACCAGTGACATTGGTTTGCTGTGATTGTGACACTTTGTCTTATAAAGGTTACTACAATGAGCATAGCTTAAAATCAGGATATGGACTATCTTTCCATTTTTTAACATACTTTTAAAATCAGAAAGCAAATGCATCACTGCTGCTATCTAAAGTGTAAGTTACATGTTATTTTAACCAGTCATATTATGCTAATGTACAACATAATTACCCTAATTACCCAACATCTGTGGGAATTTCATCCAAAAAATGTTTATATGTGTCTGTTGCTGCATGTTTATTAATCAGTTATGAACCTGGACCGCATGGAGAACCACACCCACGTGCGGAGGCGTTTCCCACGCTACCACACCACCCTGTTTCGTGGTCAGGCTTTGTGGGATCCCTATACTCATGTGATACTGCCCCCTGCTGCCCTGGTGCCACAACGGCAGCGGCTGCATAACTGGAAGGAGAAGGAGAGGACGGAAAAAGAGCGTAAGAACAGACACACACACTGAATAAAAACCTTCAGAGTGTTTCGGGCTGAACCCAAGAAACATATTCTGACTCAAACTTTTCAGTTTCAGCCTCAGATCCTCAAAACACCGCTTCGGCGCCTGTCAGTATCTCGGCCAATCAGACAGGAGAATACACTGCAGCAAAACATACTGCTGCGTTGCCTGAGCCGCCCATAACCATCGTGATCCTGCTCATTTACCGAAGTCTGGGTGCTGCCCTTCCTCCCAAGTACCACACAGACAGACGAGGAGTGAGGTGGGAATCTGAAACACACAGAACACTAAAGAAAATCTCATTACTGCAACTCCAAAAACTTCTCGTGATTTATGCTCGTATGTCTTTGATTTGGTGCTAATCAGTCTGCAAAAATTGCTTTTAAATAACGTGAGCATCACATCATTAAATAGGGATCATTATCTTTCAATTCTAGCATCAACATGCCAGGATTTTACATATATATGTGTATAAAAAAGATCCAATGACAATAATTTGTGCTATTGATCATTTAGTCTCCAAAAGTGGGAAAAAAGGTTGAAAAAGATCCATCACTGAAGCCCAAACCCACATCTTCAGGTTGCTTGTTTGTATGCGCAACCATGAAAGACACATATGAAACACGCAACACTGTATCAGATCTTTGCAAGTAGGACATGTTTGGCATCTTTGCTCAATAAATGATTAAAAGAAGTTTTGGCTAATTGAATTCATAGTCATATGAGGAACACTGGTAGGTCAGCAGAGTATCTGCATCAGGACTAATTCCAGCGATCTTTTCTCTGTATTAATCATCCTGTCTTTACTTTGTTTTCTCTCTTCTTTCCTTCTGCTGTCCCCCACTTCTCCTCTGGGCCTAATTACCGAGTAACAAGCTGTCCACTTCTCAGTTGGTGTCAATAATCAGTCATTTGTGTCTTATCTGGTTTACAAAACACACTCTTCTTTTTTTCGGTTTGTCTCTTTTTTTGGTTACTGTGTCTCTGCCTTTTTTAGCATCCTAACCAGGATATCAAACTCTGCTTTCTGTCTGATCTGGAGGATGTGTTGTAACTTCTGTACTGTCTCTCCTTCAGGCTTCCCAGACATCCAGTAATGAACTCCCCTGTGGTCACTATCTCTGTCTACAACAACCAGACATTTGTGGGCGGACATTTAGAGCAACCCATCTTACTGGAGTTCAAGCTGCTAGAGACGGCCAATCGCAGCAAGCCTCTGTGTGTACAATGGAACCACAGCAGCCCGTGAGTACATAACATGCGATGTTTCGCACTGTATTGATACTGTCGATACTGAAGTCCAGGGTATTGCGGTATGTCACTGCGTGATTAAAAGATACACTACTGTGTAGAGTTTGGAAATATCAAACTGTCATTTTTGAAATTTGCTAAAATGCAAATATCTTAAACTTCAGATTTGAAGTTAATATGATGACTTTGGGTTTTGTCTTGTTGGCTTTAAGATATAAAATATATCTTTATTCAGACTTTCTTACACTGCTGTTGAGGCAGCTGCTCTGTGTTTTCTGCAGACCTCTCACAGAAGGAAAAGTACTGATGTAGTTTTAACAATAAGAATGTGAAGTGTCCACTGTTGTAAGTCACAAGAACAAGAACTAGAAATGGTCCAATCCAAAGAAACCCAGAAAATAAGTAAATAAGTAAAAACGTGTGCAGCAGGCTGGTCCATTGTGACAAAATTTCATTGCAGGAACTCAAAATGATATTCAGTAGTTTGTTTGACCCCCATGTGCTTTGATGTAGGGGGCTGACAATGTTGGGTCATTTTGTAGCTCTGGCAGTTCTCATTCTATTCATTCTATACGTCCTTGCACAAAGGAGCAGATACCGGTCCTGCTGATAGTAACTAGTAACTATAGTAACTCCTGGAATCTCCTCCATGTTCTTGAGACTGTGCTGGAAACACAGCAAACTTTCAATGGCAATCGCACGTATTGATGAGCCATCCTAGTTGGACTACTTGTGCAACCAATGTAGGCTCAAGGTATCGCCTCATCCTACCACTAGTGACACTGTTGAGTCAAATGCAAAAAAAACAAAAATTAAGAAAGAGTCAGAAAATATACCAATATCCTAGAAGTTGAATTAGCCTGATCATATACACTGATTAAAAAGTCTTTAATTTTTTTTAGCAGCACATATAATGAAGCCAATGTAGCCTACTATCTTTACCACAGTAAAAACTACCATACTAAACCATTATAAAAGTAGACGGGAGTGCCTGATCTGCTTTTAAAATACAAGACCACTTTAGCTAAAGGATTATTTTAAATGCTCGCTGAACACCTTCTGACGTACACATATTTGACACAGAAGTCTAATTAGCAACTCAATGCGTTTAGGTATTTAGACGTGGTCAAGATGACCTGCTGAAGTTTAAACTGAGCATTAGACTAGTGAAGAAAGATGATTTAAGTGATTTTGAACCTGGTGTGGTCTTTGGTGCCACATGTCCTGGTCTGAATAATTCAAACTGTTACCTACACAACAGGATGAACTAGGATTTTAATAGAAGATGGTCCAAAAAGGAGAAATATTGAGTTAGCAGCAGTTCTTTGGGTGAAAATGCCTTGAGGTCAGAGGAAAATGGCCAGACTGCTTTGAGCTGACTGGAAGGCAAAGGTAACTGAAATATCCACTCACTGAAAGAAAGGTACACAAAAGAGCATGTCTGAATGCACAGTATGTCCAACCTTGAAGCAGATTTATTTAACCTTTATTTATACAGGTAATCCCATTGAGACTCAATGTCTCATTTAGAAGAGAGGCCGGTTTCAGACAAACAATAAATGGTGGCCTGCGGCAGCAGATGACCACACCCAGTGGGTGCCACTCCTGTCAGCTAAGAACAGGATATTGAAAGGATAGACCCATCTTATAGCCTTGGATCAATGTTTCAGGCTGCTGCTGCTGCTGGTCTAATGGTGTGGGATATAGTCTTTGCACATTTTGGCCCCTTAGTACCAGCTGAGGATAATTTAAACAGCACAACTTTCTTTCAGTACTGTTGCTCACCACATCCATCCCTTTATGACAACAGTGTATTCATCTTCTGATGGCTGCATCCAGCGGGATCAAATGGCTTTGGGATGCGGTGTAACAGGAGATGTGCAGCTGACAAATCTGCAGCAGCTATGTCAATATGTATGGAAATATTTTTATGTCATATAAAATGCGTGAGCAAAAACTAATCAGAGCAAATAATTTAATTTCACAAGAGCAATTAAATTCCTGGCGTGTAATCTCTGAGGAATGTTTCCAGCACCTTGTTGAATCTGTGCCACAAAGAATTACAGCAGTTCTGAAAACAAAACAGGGGTCCGACCTGGCACTAACAAGGTGTACCTAATAAAGTGTCCACCGAGTGTTGTTTTGAGAGCATGTGACTTCTATTAATTATGAAAAACTGACACATGGACAGCAGCAGGACATCTTTCTTGAAATGTTGCTTATTATTCCTCGTTCCGTCTCTGTTCCTGCAGGTATGAGATGGGAGGTTGCTGGACGGTGAGAGACTGTATGGTGGTGTACAGAAACACGTCTCATGTGCGCTGTCAGTGCCAGAGACTGGGCACCTTTGGCGTACTGATGGACAGTTCGCAGAGAGAGGTTAGTGATCAGTCAGTCAAGAGCTACTTACTTTTAATCAAGATAAATCAAGATAAGTCTTCATCCTCTCTCGTTCCCTCACCCTTTCTGTAGTAATCAAGCATTTCCCTTAAGTGAACCTTTTACTTCACCATGTCTGCCACTTTGCCCCAACACATTTTTTTTTTCATTTAACAGTGTCAGCTGGTAATTGCCCAGTTTGAAGAAGGGGGGAAAAAGGGGAAAAATGTCTACAAATCCTGACTGACATTCAGAAGGCTGAAGAAAGGCCTTGTTACAGTTGTAGAAGATTTTCACAGCTTAATGTAAAACCCCTTACCCACCGCTCCCAAGCATACTAAGTTGAAGATGTGTCAGATCTCGAGAAAGGGAGCGTGCGGAATCAGAAACATCATTGTCTTGACGATTTCCATTTCTCCAAACTGGAAACAGTTATATAAGATTAAGTAATTCATCATCATTAGTCTGGTGGTATGGTGGGGTATCTTATTCTCACTCACTTGAGATGCTGCAGGGAAGCCCAGTTTGCCCAAATGAAATTCTGGTGGTGTCTGCTATGTTTGCCGGCAGCAGAGGCTTCCAGAGGAGGCAAATGCACGTGCTGAATTGATTTTATAATCTAGTTTCTCCTGACAGATAAGCTTGGTCTGCTAGCTAGCTTGGTTTGTCGTCTGATTCCTCTGTTTTTTTTCCTGACTGCTTCAAGAAAAATATATTTTTTAGATGTTTTTAATAAAGGGATTTAATCTTGTACTTACCTTTCATTAGATTTCTTTCTATAGATCGCATACTTGGTTGTCATATAAATATTGTCAGTTCACACTGACGGCAGACAGGAGAGTTCAGATAGAGATGTTGCATTTCAATGCAGTTGTAACGATTCATCTTCTTGGATTGAAGTTTCTTTTTTCAACAAGTTTTCTCCCTCCTCTTCCTTTCACCCCCCTCCTTTGCATCTCTCTGTGAGTAGCAGTTGGAGGGCGACCTGGAGACGCTGGCCCTGGTTACATACTCTTCTTTGTGCGTCTCCATGCTGGCGCTGCTCCTCACTGTCCTGGTGCTCTCCTGTCTCCGGGGCCTCAAGTCTAACACCAGGAGCATCCATTCAAACACAGCGGCAGCCATGTTTTTATCAGAGCTGGTGTTTTTGCTTGGGGTCAATCAGACTGAACAACAGGTATGTACTGGTGGGGGTGGGCTTTCTGCATCCATCTTTTTTCTGTTGCCTATAGCTTTAGTTCCTTTTTTCACACCACTGCACAGTCAGTCACCACTTTATCCAGTGTACAGTCATGGTAAAAACAGAGTCCAACTTCTGTCATATCTAGATAGATAACCTGTGATGAACAGAAAAGTTATTATTTATTTAACAATAATGTAGCCACGTTGCAAAAGCACTGGTAGAAGACATCATTTTCTGTCCTACTTTGTCAATCTTTCACGTTGTTGTGGAGGAGTTTACTACTCTTTAGAGCATTGCTTCAGGTCGTTGAGGTTTGCAGGCATTTGTGTATGTATAGCTCTCCTAAAGTGGCACCACATTTCAGTCAAGGTGAAGTCTGGCCTTTGACTCAGACATTGGAATACTTGGATTCTTTTCTTTTTCAGGCGTTCTGCTGTAGTGCTTGGGATCATTATCTTGTTTGGGACAGGCTTTAGCTGTTGGACAGATGGCCTCAGATCTGACTCTAGAATACTTTGGTATACAGAGGTCAACTCAATGAGTGCGAGGTGCCCGGGTCCTGTGACCGCAAAACAAGCCCAGATACTCACCTCTCCACCACTGTGCTTGACAGTTGGTATGGGGTGCTTCTTCAAACATGGTGCTGTATACTATAGGCCAACGCCTCCACTTTGGTCTCGTTTATTCAAAGGGTGTTGCAAAGTCTTGTGGTTTGTTCAGCTTTTCAAACCTGAGCTATGCTGCCATGTTATTTTTAGAGAGTAGAGAATTTCTTCTGGCAAGCCTTCCAAACATGTCATACTTGTTCATGATGCTTGTAGAGTCTGAGATGTAGCTCTTGGGCTTTTTTTTTTTTTTTGCGATTTCTCTGAGCATGCCCACTCCTGGGAAGATTGGCAACTATCTTGATTTTTTTTTTTACCAATCACTAAATAACAAAGGCTCATACTTTCTTTGTTTTTCCTCCAGTGTGTTACGGAAGCAGCCTTCCGTTGTGAGCATCCTCTTCACATAGGTCCATATCTTTGATAAAGACCGTGCTCACACTTCAGGGCATAAGTATTTTTTCTAAAAGTAGACTTGTTTGTATGTTTGTTTTGCCCATGAAGTATCGCACTGCATTGCAATAGTTCTTTTTGCATTGGACAGACAGAGATTCAACATCCATCTATTCTTACTGTATTTATTTTTTCCCAATTGATTGGAAATGGCCTTCTAACCCTTGCCAGACTGATGGGCAGCAAGAATCATTTCTCTAAAATCAATGCAGATGTCTTTGGCATTCAGGTGTTAGCACACAGTTGGATGCTCCAGACCAGACAAACTTCTGGTTTTATAGAGGTGCCTACACCTGCTGATGATCTATTAACCAAGTAATCAAGGAGCTGATTATTTCTACTGCATCTCAATGCATAAAACCTTAAACCTTAAAATCTTAAAGAGGTTGTACTTTGTTTTTGCCGTGGCTGTGGTGTATATCTAATTTCTAGCGGCATTTAGATTTACAAGTTCATTCATCTTCAAATAGTATCTGGCAGTGGCCATGTTTTTTCTTAAACTGTTGCCAAAAACAATATCATAAGATGTTCACTCTTTGCAGTTTTGATGTCGACGGCTCTTCTTGCCTCCTAGTATTTTGTTTTTCTTCCTCTTTCTTATCCTCTGCTTGGGTGCTTCCTGTCGCTCTTCACTCTGTGCTTCTCTACATCACACTGTCCTCTTTCCTTTACGTTAAGTCCTCTATCTTTTTTCTTGTCCTCTGCCAATGTTTTTTTTTTACCACTATATCTCTCAGTTTTATTGCATCACACGTTTCTATATAAAGTGTGTTTAAAGAGCAGCGAGTCTTGTCGAGAGGGTACTCCAAATATGTGCTCACTCAGCATGAAATCCAATTAATTAATCTTTATCCCCCACATAGTCGGCAGTACTGCTCTTACAGTGCGACTGGTTACTTCTAGCAGAACAATATGTTCTCTAATTCATGTACTCCATGCTTGGGAGAGCATTTCAGTGCTTGCAGCGGTTGTGTGTTAGTTTTTATGCGCCTGTGCATATTTAGTCTTTCCATGCTTATGTGTGTGGCTCGTAGTGTTTGCTTTTTGTGTGTGTGTGGGAGTGTGAGATTCATCAGCTGGCTGTATTACTGCCAAGGCGGCTGCTTTTTCTGTGTCATCTTTGGCTCTTCTTTGGAAATTCTACTGCGCGTCTTTTAACCTCTGGGACTTAAATGTCTGCTCTCCTTAATTTTCAGAGTTCTGAGTTGTATTCATTATAGATTTCATAAGCAAATGGGCCAGTTCATCCATTATCATATATGATAATATGACAGTCATATTTTATATTAACTTCTTTGAGACAAACTTATTTTAATACATAAATGTTTGTCTAAATCATCATTTGTCAACCTACAATACTCACATGGCCTTTTTGGGGTACTTGTCTGTGTTGAGTGCAGATTGCAGTCACATTTCAGAAAATCTGAGCTTGTAGAAGCTCACATGTGCTCAAAAGATGGTTGCTCATTAAACTGAGGGTTCAGTGAACTTGAACAACTTTGCCAGAGGACATCAAAGCAAATCTGATGTCATTCTTTGCAGTTTAAAGCAAATAGACTGCCTAAGCTTTTTGGAAACTGTAATCTAAAAGACTATGCAACAGCTCCGCTCTCCTCTGTTAAAAGTACAGAGCATCAGTGGTGGACCTGCCAGTTCTGGTATTTTATGGCAAATACCAGTTGGGCTCCATGGCGCTAGGCAGTAAGAACTGATCCCATCAGAGGGCAGTGGGCCCTCCGGCCACCACAATTAAGTCTGTTTCTGAGAGGTCATTCTGTAGAGCTCTGGCAGTGCTTATCCTGTTCCTCTTTACACAGAGGAGCAGATACTGGGGCTGCTGATGGGTTAAGGAAATTCAGTGGCCCTGTCCAGAGTTACTGCTAGCCTTTATGATCTCAAGACTGCGCTGGGAGACAAAGCAAACCTTCTGGCATTTATACTTATTGATCCATCCGCTTCCATCCTGGAGGAAAACTGACACTATCAGTCATGGATTGGCCTCCTCAAAGCTCGGACCTCAACATTATTAAAGCAGTGTGGGATCATTTTGACAGAGAATGCAATAAAAGGCAGCCAACATCCAAAGAAGAGCTTTGAATGTCTTCCATAAAGCCTGGAAAACTATTCCTGGAGACTACGTAAAGAAATTACAAGATGCCTAAGAATAAAGGTGATCAGACCAAATATTGACTTAAAAGCTTGTTAAAACTATACAAAATCTTTATTTGCCTCATGTACTATGTTTCGATTTATATTTGCACAGTAAATCACTGCATCTGCATCTACATTTGCACATTACTGAGCCTTGTCTTGTCTTTGTGTATGTTAAGAACGCATTTGGCTACAAGGTCACGTACTGACACGCCTGTCAGGTTCCCACAGACATCTTATTTAGTTGTGCATTTTCAAGCTGTTTCCTGAGGCTGGTTTCGATTTTAAACAAACACCACTGCAGTTCTCTTAGACGAAGTTGACTTGCTTTTTCAAAGTGCTGTAATTCAGTGCCACTTGAGTTTGAATGGCATCGTCCTCATCTGGTCAAACAAATCAATTCAGACTAAAAGGCTGCAGAGTTCAAATAAACCACTTCAGCCATTCTTGAATGCAGCCTGAAGGTAATTTCACAGAAAGCCAAAATGTTAATGCTCTGCATTATTCATGGGGAAGCCAAGTATCGCTGCCAAACCAACCAGCAGCATCTAACTAAAGATGGCTTTGAAGTTTATCTCCTGCCTTTACTGGGATTCATTCCTGATGATATGCAATCTAGACGAATGACCTCAGAAATGAGTCCTGTGGCAGACTACGTCATCCTTTTATTTATACAGTGTCCAAGTTATTGTCAGAAAAGCAATGTTTTCTATGTGAAAATGAGGCATAGATTAACCATCACCTGACACACCAGATGGTTTGTTTAACAGAACCATCTGAAAAGTCGTCCTTGGAAACTGTTTGGAAAAGGGTAGGCACGCACTTGGCAGGTATTTGGATTTGCCATCTGTCTATCACTGTCGATCATTGGCAGCCAATCAAAAGATTTGTTTTTGAACAAATAATCAATTCCCTCTGTTGTCACCATCAGCTTTCATAAAACACATCCAGACATACCAGTAGATCCTCACAGGACGCTTACTGTGACTGTGGATTGGAAGTAAGGTCATAGCTTGAACCCAAGCATAGTTGTCTCACACCTCGATTTATATCTCTCCGTTATTGCTCAAAAATGCAACGTGTATTTATTTCGGTCGAGCTAATTATTCCCCTTAAACAACAAATTTGCATTATTTTTGTTTTCTTGACGCATTTATTGTCGTAAATACATCATGTTTAAAAATAGCTGTTAAACTTCTACAATCACAATTAATATAAAGGCGACATTACCTGTTTGGGCATTATTTACCTTCCTTTGCAGATGGTGCACATTTTCGTAATCGTAATCATAATTAAAAGACTCTCTTGGGTGTTATTGGTAAAATTCAGCTCTTATAACATCTATTTACATTCTTTATTTTTTATGCTTTTCCTGGACGAATTGTAACATGCTCCCGTTATCGCTGTTCATTAGAAGCATTAGTAATTTAATCATGAACGGCTGTTATTTCATTGCTGACACCTGCTTTGCTGTAATAAAGACTCGTGGGTTGGTTGCCAAGACATCTGTATTTCAGCTGTCGCACAATCCTTGAAAGGATTATGTTTTTTTGTCTTTTCACTGCTAACGCATCTTTCCTGCCTTTCCCCCTTAGCCTACCCCTTTCATTCCTCTCTCTCTCGCCTCTTAATCGTTTTTTGTCACTTTCTTTCTGCTACCTATAATTTCCTGCTCCTCCCCTTTCCCTTTTTTTAATCACTCTTTTTAAAAAAAAAACCCTCTCCCCTCAGTTCCTGTGTACGGTCGTCGCCATCCTGTTGCATTACTTCTTCATGTCCACGTTCGCCTGGATGTTCGTGGAAGGTCTTCATATCTACCGAATGCAAACAGAGCAACGCAACATCAACTATGGAGCCATGAGATTCTATTACGCCATTGGCTGGGGCGTTCCCGCCATTATCACAGGTAACACAGTCATGTAGACATGCAGGCACGCAGTCCTCGATATGGCCTAGGAACATGTTTGTGCAGCCATGTAAAAGCAGACAGTCACAACCCTGTTCTTGCCACAGCTGCACAATAATGATTTTCTTATATGAGCACAGGCACACACACACATACATGCATAGTGAGTCTGGCTGTGTAGATAAGGTGTCCTATTGACATTTGGATTAAACAGGTTTCAGTGGTATTTTATAACAGAGACAGTAAAGCAGAGATATTAATGCAAGCAATTTCTGCCATGACACAATTTAAGCAAGTCATATCTTTCTACTTTCTTCTCTATCCCCTTCACACACACGCACAAACACACACACACAAACACACACGCCTAGATTGGTAGTTTGCATCCAAGCTCATAACATACTGTCAGCTTCCCTTTATCTGTTGCTGTTTGTGTCACTGTCTGTCTCTCAAACCTACACACACACACACACACACACACACACACACACACACACACACACACACACACACACACACACACACAGGAATGGATGTGTCTCCCACCATCATAAACACACTTTAGCACATGTCTCTTCCCTCGGGCTGTGAGGTGTGTTTATCTGTCTTTGTTCGGGCTTCTTCTGTCTTTTCTTTTGCAATTTATTTCAAATATTCTTAATAGCCACGCCTGTCAAAACATCGACAGTTTTGTCCAAACAAGGATACATGACTGATAAAGATATCACAGTTCAAGTCACAAATTTCCTACTAACCACATCTGGTGCTTATATGGAGCACTGGTGCCTCAGATTCTACACTGAATCTGTGCTGTAAGTGCGCACACGAAAGAAACTTCAGGTGAAACCGTTTTGGTGTATCCCCGCTCAACGTAAAGAAAAAGACCGTTAGCTTACAGCCTGATCTTCTTCTGACTCTGACAGTCAGTGAATTTTTGTTCGTGAACTTGATTCGCATGATTCAACCAGAAGCTGAAAATCAGGGGGTGAAACATTTCTGTTCTGATTTGGAATAATGTGTCATATAGGTTATACGAAGTTAAATTAAAAAGAGAAATGATGGTTTGTGTCTTTGGCGTTTAATCGTAGCAGCTTAGTGCTCAAAGTTCAGCAGAATTTAACATTTAAAATCTAAAGATCCAAAGATGTAATCAAATATTTAGAGCGTGCTTTCAGGAGCTAATTTTCTCTAAGTCCTTGATTTATAAATCTAAAAATATTCATTTAATAAAAGCTAAAAACATACCTAACATTCACAGAAGTGTTGTGGTGTTCCAATAATGCCCTGCAGTCACTGCCTATACTGTTTCCCTATCTTTGAGGCTGCTGTCTCTCTGTGAGTGACAGCAGAGGACATCACAGAGCTGATCTGTCTAATCTCACCGCACATCTGTTTGCTTTAGGCCTGGCAGTAGGTTTGGACCCAGAGGGTTATGGAAACCCAGACTTCTGTTGGATATCCATCTATGACAAACTAATCTGGAGCTTTGCTGGTCCCATCGGCATCGTCATACTGGTAAACATCTCTCTGTTTGTCTGACACATGGCAGTGAACTCTACATGCACACAGACTTAAATGATATGAATGAAATCTCAACCTGCACTTCCTCAAGCAAACATAGGTTTAAACCTAATTAACATTCACAAGTGGCAGCCCTCCAAATGGATTTTAGAAAGGCGACCCACTTGAGCCCAATCATTTCATTCAGGCCTTTCGAAACTTCACTTCAAGAAATTTGATGCAGTGCTTTAAAGTGAATGATTATGGCGTATTACAGTCAGTAATCAGTAGCACACCTGTGAATCCACTTTTTCTTTTTTTTTCTTTTTTATACTGTCAGAGACTTGAATGGCTTTGCTTTTATTAAACGTATCTTTTCCCTCCTATGTGACTAATTTATCCACATTGATTTTGTCCTAGTCGTTGCTAATGGCCTTAGTGGATTAGCTGAAATGCATTTAAATGTTTTGTGTATTGATCTTTCACTTTTCAGTTGAATGGGGGCATTTTCACCATTGTAGCCAAGATGTCGTGTAACCCATCTCAGAAGGAGACCAAGAAACTTCCTGTCATGTAAGTGTCTGCCTTGACACTGTTCTCACTTTAAAAAAGTGACCTTGAAGCCTACCTTCCAAAGTACAATCCTTTTCTTGTGTTTTGTGCAGTTTCAGGCTTCAAAGGGTCCTATATAAAATTCCTGAGTTTCTCTAAAGTAGTCTTTCAGATTTGAGCTGTATGATAAGAATCGCTCTGTAGTTCCTCCAGTGCTTCTACTGTCGTCCATTAGTGTGGTTTCTCTTTGCTGTCTCTATATTTCTCTGTTACCCTAATCATGATGACATATAGTGAAAACGTCATTATTGTGTTATAAATAAAGGTTTAGTGTGATATAATGCTGCAGTCGACTGGCGTATGCATCAGAGTGTATCACAGATTCATTCTGGCGAATCCAATTCTAATCTTTTTTCTCCTCCACTGCCCTCTTTGCTTCTGTCTGCCTCTCTGCAGCGCCACTATCCGCAATGCCTTCTTGCTGTTGCTGGTGGCCACCTCCACCTGGCTGTGTGGTCTGATGGCTGTAAATAACAGCATACTGGCTTTCTACTACATATTTGATGTCCTCTGCCTAGTACAGGTACGAACAAAGCATGATCAGATACACAACAAAGTGCGATCTCTACCTGTAGCTTTTGAATCTTGTTTGTCAGTCTGTGTGTTTTTGTTTTTGTGATTTTTATTTTATATCTCTTTATCATCTTTCCCAGGGTCTGTCAGTGATGCTAGTCTTCACCGTGTTCAACTCAGAAGTTCAGGAGGCATGGAGAGTCGCCTGTTTGGGTAAGAAGAGTCCTGGAGAAGATCCCCCAAGACCACCGCAGAGCACAGTAAGTCCAACATACATAAATATCCAGTTTGCGAGCATATCTATACTGCTACCGCTAAAGCTAAACACCTTTTTTCATTCGTTTCTTGAATTAGCCTGACTGTTGAATCATTAATATACTGCATTAGCAGAATGCATGCACAAAAGTATAGCAAAATGAAGATGAAAACTAATTTTTAAAAGAACTATGGTATCCAAAAGATTATTATCATTATTATTGCACAGTGATGACAAGCTAAGTGAATCTAAGATCATGATGCGAAGGCATAAATGTCCTAGCTGCGTGATCCTTAAAGCCGTTTACTAAGTTTTCTCCTGCTGCTGTGCCCATTACTAGACAGCACAATAGCCCTCCTGCCCTGAATTTCTCCTTCCCTCTATCCTTCCATCAATCTTTCCTGTCGTGTCTCTGTCCTCTCCAGCTGCCCTCGGGGTTCCTAGCTGACCCACATAAAACATTATACCAGCTAGTGGATCCCTGCCTGCTCTTTAACCCGCTTTCGCAAAAGCACTGTGCAGTGCCGATTTAATGATGCTTTTATGCGTGTGTATGAAATGCTATCCTACTTTCACATCTTTCCTTACTTCCTATGTCTCGTGTGTGTGTGTATGTGTGTGTGTGTGTGTGCTTGTGTGTGTATGAATTCTCAGCCGTCAGCATCAGAATCTTTACTATCGCTTCTGTGTGTTTGAACTTTGTATATATATACATGTTCCATATTTCCTTTGAATCTCTGTCAGTGCAGTGAACCCCATACAGTTTGTTGCCAGTTTGTGTGCGTGAGATGTTGGTGTGTATGTGTGGGGAAGTTTACGTGTGTGCGCGTATGAGATGTGTTGTTTCCACCCTTTTAAACCCCATTTCCTCCAAAGCTCTTCCTCTCTATTACTGAGTCATATGGGCAAAATTCAAGACTATTATTATGTGCACTATGCTGTTTTTAGCACTGATGGATTATATGCATGGATGACCCCCTTGTAGCGTCCTTTTGTGATTTATCAGCAGATAACAGAAGTCTTGTCACATCTCAGAGTCTTATGTTCCACATGCCTAGCCTCCTGGACACAGGTTGAAAGCTGGGAGCTATTTTTTTAAAGCTTCTTGCATGTGTTTTTGTGTGCTCAGGCACAGAACCCCTATCACAACCCTTCACTGTTGGAGCAGAGCGGGCTGCACCGCATCACACTGGGAACCTCCACCATCTCCTCCGTCAGCTCTGCCAGGTATCTGAACGCATGCACGCATGAATGGACACGTGTCACAGTTTTTACCAATATATTAAGGTAGATGTGCACATCGTGGTGGTTTAATGCCATAAAATATAACAACAATAAATTGATGCTTGAAAAACAAGGATAGTCTATCGTTCAGATGGGATTCTGGCGGGTTTGTTGGGTCTGTGGTTTTTGGATAAAGTCGCCTTAGGGTGGAAATTCCCTCCCTGCATAAAACCCTGTTTTTCATTTTGTGGGTCAGTGGGGTAAAGATGAAGAAGATTAGACTGAACAATGTACTGTACTGCATGTAGAGCAACACTAATGTACCCTGAGAGTGGCTGTTAATGTCTTCATGGCTCAGTGATTGTCTGTCTTCATGCCATGTCTTGGCCTGTATGAAGCGTGCACACTAGTATTTGTGTTTGAAAGGACTCTCGCTTTTTTTCAAATCTGTATCTGCCTGTTTCTGTGTGCTTCTATTGTTTGTGTGTGTTCGCCTAACTTCTCTTCTACTCCCCTGTTAGAGAAAACCTTTTGGCTCGTCAGACTCTGGAGCAAAACATCGTCCACACTGGTGCAACCGACCTGGATGTAGCCATGTTCCACAGAGACGGGGGTGAATATGCATAATGAGCAGACATGAATCTCTGAAAAACAAAGACTTTATCTCTGCCCATATTTAACTAAGGATCAAGAACATTTACTCAAGAATACCAACACATCAGCCCTATCCTTTTCCTCACTTTCTCACTCCCGCTTTATCGTCCCTTCTCCCTTTCTTTATCCAGGTGAAGATTCCGACTCAGACTCTGATCTCTCTATGGAGGAAGAGCACAGTCTCTCCATTCCTTCTTCGGAAAGCGAGGACAACGTCCGTCTCCGTGGCCGCATCCAGCGGCGATTCAAGCGCTCCAATCACGGTGAGCGCCTGCTCACAGAGCCCGCCAACAACGGCACCAAAGGTAGATTTTCCGTGTTACCGAGTTTATATTAATTCTATTTTTGACATTTTTATTGTTTAAAGTCAGTAATGGAGAAGTGTCTCATTAGGAGTGCTTCATCACCGAAAGCCTAAGAGTTATGGGTCCCATCAAAATGTTCTGCAATGTCTGGATGTCTTTTGTTGGCACAAAACATTTAATTTGTTCACTGTCAGTGCGCCCCAGGGCGGCTGTGGCTACAATGTAGCTTGCCATCACCAGTGTGTGAATGTGTGCGTGAATGGGTGGATGACTGGATATGTAAAGCGCTTTGGGGTCCTTAGGGACTAGTAAAGGCGCTATATAAATACAGGCCATTTACCATTTTTTTACCATTTTTTTAAAGACTACTTTTAAATGTTCATCCTCGGTATGTTTGAAAGGTAATTAAAGTTTACAAAGAGCTTCTTTGCAGAGTAATAAAGCTTTAGTCAGGTTGAGTTCATAGCAATTACAAGAACACAGAGTCAGTATGCAGACTCAAGGCAACAGCAGATTACTATAACTTCAATAGAAACTTTTAAAACTGCTGCTGCAGCATAATTCAATTATCTGCAATATCACTGTCCTTTTATAGTGTGTATTATGTGTCCAAACAACACATATTAAACATATGGATTCTGCCGGTCTGTGAAATAGCATTTAAATCATTTGTATATTGTATATTTGTATATTGTGCGCTATGTGTAAGCAAGAATAGCATCCACCTCCAGGAAGAGGAAATGTCAATGCAGGCATACATTAATCAATACACTCCTTCTTGTGATACACAATGACAAGTTTATCATGCATAATATATGAGTTTACGCACGTCATAGTGTGTGATATAAATGTCACGCGAGTACAGTTTCCGTGAAATGTTTCACACTGAGAAAATGCCAAATATCTGCAAATCTATAAATCCATTTAACCAATCAATTCTTAGCTTCTTAAGCCACTGGGGTCACACGAACTCTGTTCAGAGTCTAACCAGACCACAGCCATCGTTCAATAGAGGAAGGCAAGATCCAGATGGCTGTTACAGTCCGATCAATACATCAGTGCAGTCAAACTGGAGGGCCTGAAACATTTTGGCTTTTTACTGAAAGGTCACAGTCTGAATGCGTCCAGTTCTCTGTGACAAAGCATTAACCCCTGCATCTCCGCAGTGTTCGAGGACTGCACCGGGAATGTGTTCAGGACAACAATATGAATAGATTTTCTTGTTTTTTATAACCCGGTGCCGATGATCTTTTGTTTTATTCACTGTCACAGCAGGCTTGCTGATTTTACAAGCCTGAAAAAGATGAAAGCATTTGATGTATCAATGATGCTTGCTCTCATGCATGTTATAGCTGGAGGGAATAATCATTATTTCATTTCTTTGTAGTTCTGACGATGGATTATTTAGGAAGTTAATCATTTAAGCAAAATGTAAAATATTCTTTGGTTAATAAGTTAAAAAGGAAATACATGAAGTTTTCACCTTTAGTTTAGAAAAGATTCATTTAAAAAGTAATTTTGAAATAAATTGATAAAACTTTACTTGCAGCCTAAATTCTTCATCCACACAACTTTTCACACTTATTAAATCCTTACCACTGATAATATCCTTTACAAAATGTGGGTCCAAATAACACAGATTGGTTTAAAGGGCTGACATTGATGATGTCACTCTGTCTCGTTCTCCTTAAATCAGCTTTTGCTGTGCATGCTAAAAACTCGAGTTCATGGGTCGTTTGCAGCGGCCTGAAAAATGTCCTTTTTGACACTTTTAATTAGCTCTGGCTTCTGATTTGATAATGAACATATGCTATTTTGTATGCTGACAACTGCTATTAGTTGCAGACATCTGTTTTTGTGTTCTTGGGGACGTGCATGAGGCAATAAAATGAAATTAAAAAGATGAGAATATGATCCATTAGAATATAGCTCTTTATGACTGTTTTGTATAGGCTATAATAAAAATAACAACTATTTTAGTGACGACTGCATTAATAGTGATTCAGACTACTTCCCAATAAGGTCTCCTTTGTTTTGTTACTGCTCACTACTTAATGATCAGACATAGATTTCCCTCATGAGGTGTCACTGATGTTAAGTTTGCCAGTAACCACAGAGAGTTTTCCGTGTATGACAGAGCTGGACGGCAACGACCTTTTATCCTATTGGCCAGCTTTGGAAGAGTGCGAGGCACGCACTCTGCAGAAGTGGGGCTCAGAGCGCCCCCTGGGGGCAGATTACAGCAAGGACGCAGCAAATAACAACCAGCTAGACGCAGCGCTCACTAGTGGAGACGAGAACGGCCTCACCCAGCCACACAGGCACCGCAAAGGTGAGAGACACACGTGAACAACTAGACACAATCGGAAGGGTGCACATACACTTTGGATTGTGCCTTATTTTACTTTTATGTGTAAATTAAAGCTTTAGATACAGACTCATGCAAGGTACAAACAGCAAAATGGAAAACAGTGATGACTATTCTGAAACAATGAAACTCGTTCCCTCCGGGTACTCCGGCTTCCTCCCACCGTCCAAAGACATGCAGTTTGTGGGGATAGGTTAATTGATTAGTCTAAATTGCCCATAGGTGTGAATGTGAGTGTGAATGGTTGTCTGTCTCTGTGTGTTAGCCCTGCTACAGACTGTCAACCTGTCCAGGGTGTACCCCCGTGACAGCTAGGATAGGCTCCAGCACCCCCCGCGACCCTGAAAAGGATAAGCGGAAGCGAATGGATGGATGGAACTTCAACGTGACGTTAACAGACTCTTGCTACTTTTATTTCTTCTTTTTTGTCATCATTATAAATATCTACTTGGTAAAAGTCATTGATTGTCAGACAGACTGTGCCTCTGCATATCAGTGCCTGGTCTGAGTATCCTAAACCTGTGATCTTCTTCATCCTGTTATCTAATGAGTGTCTCCAGATATCCTGTCTGAGTAATGCAGAATGGAACATTTTGCCAAGAGGGAGATGGAGGTGGTGTCAGCTGCATGAGCTGAACCAGCAAAGCATAATTTAAACCAAAGTTCAATAACAGAGAATTTATCTGCTGTTTGAGCAGTTTGTCTCATATATGGGTTGATTATCTCAGTTCATCTTCGGGGTGACCCAGAGACCCGTCACTCACTCAAATATTTATTTTATTTTGGACCGTACTTTAGCTTTTTTGTTCCTGTAGTGCTGTAAATGTACAACCTGATAGTTTTCTTGTTGTCATTTAGAATTTGATAACCACATGTGTATTACATACAGATGTTTTGTATCCTAACATAACATAGTCATTGTTGCATTCCTGTCAACTCGAAGCAGTTTGGCCAGTCTCCTCTGTCTGCTGACATCGACAGGGCATTCTCTGTAAACCATAGTGATGGTTGTGTGGGGAAAATCCTAATAGATCAGCAGTTTCTGAAATACTTAGAACAACGAACACCATGAACAACCATGTTCAGAGTCACTTTCCTCATTCTGATTCTCAGTTTGAACTTTAGCAGGTCGGTTTGACCATGTCTACATGCCTGAATGCATGGGAGTTCTTGCCATTTGATTGGTTCGTTAGCGATTTGTGTTGACAAGCTGCCGAACAGGTGTACCCAACAAAGTGTCTATTGAGTGTATGAAATATAATATGCATACTCAGCATATAGTGCACACATAAAGTATATAACTGGCATGTGCACATGTAGAAATAAAGGCCCAATCAGATGCAAGTAAGAAAAAGAAAAGGTTGTAGCCTGAAAGCATGAGTGACATTTCAGGGAATGAAAATAGCCATATACCCAGTCATATACCGACAAATGAACACCCGCGTAGGCATGCAAAAGTGGTTTAATGTGAGTAGTCCTGCTTTTTGGTAAATGTGATAGTTGTGTGACTCATTTTCTGCCTCTTTCTAAATGGCTTCTCTTCATCATTTGATTTCTTCCGCTTTTCTTTTCGCCTTCTTCTCTCATCATGAGACTTTTACAATGTAAATGCCTGTCGTTACATTGTAAGGCAGTTGGATTCTCTCAAAAGTCTTAAGCTTCATGTAATCACAGTCACTGGAAAAAACATTTTTACTAGTTTTACTATGTTGTTGCCAAACCACAGTCGAATTGAAACAGTCCAGCGTCCCACGATGGATTAGCAGCCAATAAGGTCACAGCTACGACATGTTTTAGGTGTCACGACAGACTGACAGTTGATCTAATCATCAACCCAGTATTTTTTGAAAATGAGCGCTCGTGAGCACCTGTTATGTGCAGATTTACTTAAGAAGACGAGGCTAAGACAGCTTGTATTTCTCTGAAAGCTCTCTTTGTATCCTCAGGTTTCCTGATTTGATTATTTTAAGCCAGTTATTGTGATAGATGGATGATTCATCCAGTAACCTAATGGAATCTAATCTCTTCTTCAGGTTTCTCCTTCTTCTCCATTTCTACCACTAACGCCTTCCTCTTTTTTTCTTGTGGTTTCATTTTCTTTGTCCCAGGAATCCTCAAGAACCGTCTTGGCTGTCCTCCCGCACTCCAGGGTCTTTCCAGTATGGGCCGGGTCCCCAGTGAGCTCAACTGGTACCGAACCTCTACTCTTGGCCACCGAGGTGTTCCTGCTGCCTCCTACGGTCGTATGTACTCTGCCACAGCTGGTGCCACTGGAGGCTCCGGCTCTCTCTCCCAGCCAGCTTCCCGCTACTCCTCTAGGGAGCACCTGGACTCGCTTGCACGGAGGCAGCTGTCCAGGGATCCACTCGGGAGGCAGACGGTCGGAGGATCAAGAGACCGGTTGGACTGCCGAGGCTCCAGGGACAACTTGGATCTCTTACCCAGGAGGAGAGAGCTGGGGCTGGGGCCAGGGTCAATGTTAGGGACCCTGGATCACCAGCGAGTCTCATTATCCAGGGAGAACTTGACAGGATCAAGGGACAGACTGGACAACCACCATGCTACTGGTTTCCACGGATCGAGGGAGGATGTGAGTGGAAACGGAGGGGCTGTCAGTGCCGGGATTGAGGGATACCTCGGCGGATCAAGGTTGCAGCTGAGCTCGCTGACTCGGCGACAGGCCTCATCCCGGGAGCACCTCGAAGAAGTTCTCGTGAGCAGTAGATCAAGGGAGCAACTTGACACCAATGGAATGGGAGCCCAGGCCCAGCCGTGTCGGGAGTGGCTCCGCACTCTGCCACCCCGCCAGCCTTCACACCCTGACCAGCCGCCCTCCTCTTCTCCTCCTCCCCCGATATCTGAGGAGCCTCAGCAGGAGCACCTACCTCCTTCAGCTCACGCCAGAGGACGACTGGACTCAGCTTCATGTAGGTTTCCTGGTCAGGTCGCCCCCCAGGTCGCAGGTTCAAATCCAAACCCCTTGGGTCGACAACCGTCCAGTGAACACCTGGATATTCTTTCCTCCATTTTAGCATCCTTCAATTCCTCTGTCCTCACTCCTCCCCCTGCTGCCCCAAACACTGGTCCAAACGGCTCCGTCCACGGACCCTCCCCATCCCCGTCCCAGTCTGCCACCTCCCATAGCATATCTGAAGTCTCCCCTGACTCGGAGTAAGTCCTTCTGAGTGGAAAATCCACCCTCAACCCACCCTCCTCCTGTCCTTTTCTCACATGCATCTTCTTCTCTTCCTCTTTTCTCCAGCATCTGTCATCTTGGACTTTTGACTTGTGCTATTCTAGTTTGTTTATCTCAGCCTTCCCCAACCCTTTCAGCAGGCTTCCTGCGTTCCAGCTTCTTTATCATCTCTTCCCATGTGTCTCAGTCTATTTTCTTCTGTTTTCCATCTCCCTCTTCTCTCCCTCTCTTTTTCTTTGTCCTTTTGCCTGCAAAGCTCATTTCCATTTTACTTCTGTAGTTTCACTGTGAACTTGAATTTACAATTAGTGAAGTGCTGTACAGACGTAGTGATGACTCATTTTTCTTTCCTTCACCTTAGAGCCAACAGAAGTGAGGGACAGTCTTGATGACAACCTCCGCATCCCTTAATGCATTTCTACAGTGCTGGGGTCACATTGGACATGTTCAAAGGTCGCGGATGGACCTGAAGCACCGGGACAACCTGGAACATTCGAGGACAGGGAAACAAAACCGAGACAGAGGAAACGCAGAGACACAAAGACGGACAAAATATCCAATGATAACACGGATTCAAGAGAAAGTCAGTGGGCGGCGTGTACTGTGTAAAGAGTTTTCGAGTGTCACCGCCTACGGCGAACGACGATGTTTCTGTGGACGATGAGTCAACCACCTCTACTACCTACAAACTCTTAAAGGCAAAAACACAAACTCCTCAGATTTCAAAGAAACGAGATCCGTCAAAATGAAGAAAAAAAAAAGAAACTGTAAATAACATTTTTATACATTTTGTATCTTTTTCATTGGAGATGAAGAAGAAATCTCTTGTGATGTTTCTTTTTTTTTTTTTTTTAAATGACTGTGCTCATGTGAGGTTGTGAGTGAGGTTGGTGTGAGTGCAGTCTTGGTCGTTGCTGAGGGGGGGGATCCCCCTCCCCACAAAAAGAAAAAAAAACTCCCCAAATTTCTCCCTAAAAAAGGTTTTCCCTAGAAACATTTCCTCACACGCATCAACTTTATGTATAGCGACAGGGGTCTGGCAATAGAATCGAATGAGATTATCGAAACCGCGAGATGTGGTTGGAGGGAAACTATCGAAGCAGGAGGAGGAAGTGATTGTAAATAGAAGGAGGAGTTATTTTAAGAGATTTGATGGAGCGAGATGATTGTGCAGAGAAAAAGACTGAAGGTTTAAAGTTGGCGGCTCAGCAGTTAAAAAGCTCAGTCACAAGCGTCAATGCATCAGCTCTGTGCTGTATATGAATGTGACCTTGTCATCTATCTGTGTATCTTCATGCCTGGTGCTATCTGAACCAGACCATATCAGACGGCTGATATTACAAGACCATATCTGTAGCGTTCTGGAGACCTGGTGGGTGAAGGTTGATATCTCTGTCTGCCTCTCTGGATGAGGATGTATCGCGTAACAACCATTTAAATCCCCACAAAGTTTTGTGCACTTTGATGCCTGCCTCGAGGGACGACACAGGAGCAGCCGAACCTCAAGACCATTCGTAAAAGCTTCTCCGCAAAACTAAACCAAAGGGACTTAAAATCTGTATGAAACCCTGATATTCTTCTGTTTCTTCTGATGGAAATGACTTGTGCAGGGCGCGTTGTAGCTCGGTTTTGTTAAATCATGATCTTTTTCAGTAAGAAGTCTCAAATTAAAAGCTGTTTCTCTTCATGAGGCCATGATCAGCGCTACTACATAACCCGCATAACTGTTTGCCATTTTATTTTACCCGCGTAGTACATAAGCAAGTGGATTTTCATGTGGGAAGGGAGCGGATAAGAGTCATCGTAACACACTCAGATATTTGTGTGAAGACATGAAAGCAGCACTGTGGTATGTTCACAGCATGGTGCCAACCTGAATATTTAAATTGCTCCTTTATATTTGAGAAATTCAACAGAAAAGAAGCTCATGCTTCAGAAACAATCGAACACGAGCCCACAAAAAAAACACGAAAACTGATTTTTATTTATTCAGATTCTCATTTAGATGGTTTCACAAAAAACGAGTTATCTTTCAAGATCCGTCAAAGCTTCTGCGGCAGATTGCAGAGGGGAGAGGAGATGTCAGCTGTGTCAGCGCTAAAAGCCTCTAAGTGGTTTCGAGATGCAGGTCTTTCCATCAGCAGCTGCACCTTTCTCGCAGCTGTCGGAGGAAGCCCAGAGTTCAGCCTTTAAGGTAACAACACATGGGCGTTTTCAGGAGTGGAGACGGGGACAGGGAGGCTTTTTTCTATAGGAAACTACAGCGGGTTGTAAAAACTGAAGGAAAATGGGAGTTCTGTGTTGCCAACATGTGTTGTCTGTGTCTTTGAGCAGAAAACAGCCAAAAGCCAATGCAAAAAGTAATAAATGAAAAAATAAGGCTAAGATATTGCATAACGGGAAAGATTTTTTTTTTTAAAAAGATACCAAATCAGGCAAGATTGCAAGAAGAACAAATTGGGTCAGGAAACATGACTGCAGAAATGTAGCCGCAGGGAGGAAGGCGTGGATGTTACTCATCACAGGGAGACAGAGAGAAAAAAGACACGTGGATGGAAACGCTCGAAGTGGAAATAAACACACACCTTACAAATAAGTGCATATCTGCCTGCTCTGACCGCTGCTCTGCCGGTCCCGTGTCCCTGAGACGTGACAAGCACAACCTATTTACGACAGTATTATTGCCAAAAAAGTCCCGAGTGCAGCGCAACACCACCCACCGGTCTGTTAGCCTGACAAATCCTATTTTCTTCTCCATCTATATTTTTCTTCAGCTGACCTTCAACTTTGAAAGACATGAGATTTACTTTATTTATTGATAATTTATTGACACTGTATTGGTTTCTTATTTTCGCCATCTGAATGAGAGGATGTTGAGGAAGCGTGTATGTGTGTGCGCGTGTGTGTGCAAATGTTCTTGTTGTCATATGTAACATTTCCTGTCATCTGACTCTCACGGCTACAAATCCACAGATGAAAGGCAAGAAAAGAATCTGAACTTACACCTGGAATTCAAATCTGAAGAGTTTAGTCAGTATTCAAACTGGATCTGTTGTCTAATCTTAACTGGTAATCTATCCAATTAATTGACTACAGGTTTAACAGTAGTTCGGACCAATCCGAGCCACAGAAGCGAGGGCAGACAAACAAACAAGCAAAAACCAACAACAACAACAAAAGATGATTAGAGACAAAAGGAGAGGAACATAGAGAGGTGGAGAGATGATGGGAGGTTGTATTTGTTAGCTTGTGTGTTCATTATTGGATGCCTTCTATCTTGCCGTCTGGATGGAAACAGCTGTTCCCCTGTTACCGCGGAAACAAGAGAAATGTTGGACATTAAAAAAGAAAAAAAATGACTTATTCCTACAAGGCTCTGTGTTCTTTCTGATTATTCTTGTCTGGGAGACACAAAGAGCTTTGCTGTTTCATATTCATGCCAACAGACATTTTCAGGTGTAGAAAAAGTGAGCGGAGGAAAGATCCTGTGACAGGGTGACACGTTTTTCTCTAGAAGGCTCCTCTCCCTGACTTGCGTTGACTCTCAAAGTATTCTGTCACATTCAGAGACATCAGAGGAGGGCGGAGACGTTCAGCTCAAGAGACGGCGGGGATCAGCGGCGCATACATACATCTTAAGATTTTAACCTACGCAGGGCTGAAGCAAAAACTCATCAGTGCTCTTATTAGATTATTAATGTTACCGCTTGGTCACAGCCAGGTTCATTAGGCACTGATGTGCAGTAGTAATGCTAAAAATATTTGATCTAAAACGTTGGGATCCGAAGGGGGGAAATGGACATTTTTGGGAAATATGCTTCCTGCCAAAAGTTGGCTGTGAAGATCAATACCACTCTCTCCTGAGTGTCAGCTGGCATAAAGCAGAGGGAGAGCAGCCGTTTTTCAAAGCATTGCATTTTTCATCTATTCTCTAAGTGTTTGAACTGTACCGGGGGCCTTAACAGCATTCATCAAAAAGATAATGGCCTCTTTTGGTGTTTTTGACGATCGCTGAGTGCGCCTAATTATTTTGCTGAAGATACTCTTGGAGAGTTTTCTTTTTTAAACAGCACTGTGGTGGTGGAACCCCTCCTACCACCACAGTCCCAGCAGAGAACTTTGAAAATGGCCAAAAGAATGTGGACACAAGGCAACCTGACCTTCTGTCCATGTACTCCAGTGTATTTGTAGGTAGGTGGTGTGACCCAATACGTTCCTCTATATGCTGTCTTACAACTCAATATTACAGACCTCTCATTTTCAGAAGAAGACGCGCAACAATCACAGGTGTGCACATACGTCAGTGTGGTACCTGTTTCTCACACTTATTTATTCACTTACACATTTGTTTACTTACATATCAAAAACAAAGTTAAAGCATGCACTAAAAAAGTCTGTTAAAAGATTGTCCTTTTAGGAATGTCATTTCGTCCCATGTGCGTGTCACCTGCGTACATTCTTCTTTTAAAATAACCTCGAACGAACTTTGACCTTTAAAAAAATTTAAATAAAAAATACACCATTAAGACGATCAATGAAAATTGATTTTTTCAATCCGGGGCTAGATTGTGATAGATGACACATAAAACAGGGTTGTCATTACAAACCATTTCAACAAGGAGTATAAAGTGACTTACAGTTCTCCGTACTGTTGTGTTGTTTTTAAAGATTAGTTCAAAAACTGCTTAAAATGTTTCTCTATTAAGATGGAACTCACATTGCAGAGGGATTGGCTGCCGTGATTACAACTATTGTTGCTCAATGTGAAACTCTTCAGCAGCAATGTGTAACAAAAAACAAAAAGTAGTGTCATGGCGTATACACAAAACAATACAAGAATGACACTCCGAAAAATAGAAACATTTGAGCGTATCAGCCAGTCGGGTCAGACGTTTTCTCCGCTTCGTCGCCACTACTGGAGGAAGATGGCGGCACGTCCTCGCCCATCCTCTTTAGCTTGGCCTTGTAGTAGGCCTTCTTCATCCTGAAGGCTTTCTCCTTCTGTCGGGCTGCTCTCCTCTTCTCCCTCACCAGCTCCTGCTCCCACGCCAGCACCTTCATCCTATTCTCCCACTCCAGGATCTTCATCTGCTGCTGCTGCTCCAGAGCGTCCGATCTCTGCTGGTGCTCCAGTCTGGACAGGTCTACGGAGTCGTGCTGAGCTGGGCGGCGCCCGGCGTCTTCCGTCTTGCCGCCTGATGGTTGGAGATGCTGGCTGCTGAGCCTGGAGGTGCCTGAGAGGTCAAAGTTCAAAAGCTTCACTGTGGTTTGTACTAAAAAGCACGATCTGAGGTTTGCAAGGCAACTTTAGATTCACTTTTCTTACTTTCAAGGCTGTTTAACACCAGGAGCTGCAGTTTAGAGAATAAGGCTGAAATTTAAAGAAACAAAACACAATTTAATCCCAGTCAGATCTACCTGCGCCTTAATGCCAGAGCAAAGCTGATAAACCTATCGTCTTACAGTTTTAACCTGGACTATATTTTGAAAATCCTCAGATTTATTTAGGATAATAGTTTTTCCTTCTTGTGAGCCGCTGTGCGATCTGATGCAGGCACAGCTGTGCTAACTGTTAGACTCAAAAAGCCCGAGTTGGCTCACCAAAGGTATACCTTGTCACAGGTAAACAAAGCAAAAGTAAATAAATACAGCAGGTTATAGTTTGTGTTAGATATAATATGTGTCACAGGGCTTAGATGTGAAATGCTATGAATTACTTAGAAAATTTTCTTAATAAAGTGGGTTAATGAAAACAAACTTGAACGTGCTTTTGCAGTACAGCCACAGGTGTAAGCTGATGATTTATATATCCATGTGTGAGGTTGTCATACAGTGTCTGAGTCAATTCATAACTGTATCATCGATGGAAAATCTATTGAGAACTCTGCAAAGAAAAATTCTAATTTACTGACCTGAATGCTTCTTCTGCTAAATGCTCTTTTTCAATGCTAAAAAGTACTGTACTACATGTGATACCATCAGGAAAGACTGTCAGCATGAAACACACACAAACAGTAAAAACATCCCTGGATAGAAAAACGTAACCTGAAGAAAGATTTCTGAAGACTAGCTCGCCTATGAGACTTCAGGCTGTGTTTGGTCACACCAAACAATGACTTTCAAGCTCGTCAGAACTGTATATACTTTACTTTTTGCCTCATATATTACATTTAAGTAATATATGACGAGTGGCTCAAGATTTTTGCACAGTACTGCAGGTTGTCAAAACATTCAATTTCAGCCACAAAAGGGGAGCCTCGGAGATAAATTAGAGGAAAAGCAGAGGAATGAACTAAACAGCTATTTAGTCTCATATTTATGATGCACAGTGAGCGTGTAACACCATGGTACACGGGCACTCCAAACAGCATACCCCTGCTATTAATTGGGCTATCAATCTTCTTAATGACAGTAATTTATTTAGGTTGGTCACATGGGCTGCTTCTTCCCATTCACAATCTTCTAATAAGCATGCAACACTAAAGCCATCTCTGCGGCAAAACAGCTATAACTTATTGAAGTCTGTGTATAATTACGCCCTTTCCTCCTCACCCTTAATAATGTTAACTGAGCCAATTATCTCCTTCAGCTCAAGGTTATTGTTTCTTAATTAAGAGTGGAGTATTAATCAAGTTAATAGTAGAATATCCCACTATTTGCCCACAGAAAGTTCCTTGCGCAAGGGTTTCCAAGCAACACATGCTCAAGCAGCTTGCAGGGTGTTATTTGTTGGTACCTGGTGCTGTGAAGTAGGCAGCAGGGAATGCCACATCCTGTAGCTCTGCATTGTGGGAGGTGGAGTTTGTAGAGGGGCTGTGGTGCAGATCTGACCAGTCGTTGCCTGTTATTCTGTCCAAGGCGTCACGCTGGAGGCAGATGGCCACTTGCTCCTTGCTGTCCTCTGCCTAAGAAGGAGGCGAGCCATTTGGTGTTTCTGGGATTAATGTCTGAATCTAAGGTGTCATGAGCAGCTCCAGGTTTACCTCTTAAATAAAATGAAACCAAAACTTTAAAAGTAATTACCTGATTCACGCTGCCATTCACCTGTCCTGTCACCATCAAACAGCCTGATAATAAGGAAGGAAAAAAAAAAAAAAGGATAAGGAGACAACCAGGGAGGGACTGCAAGTATATGTCTATCAGAAAAATGAACAAAGAGCGCCTCCCTCTGGTGGACACAAGCACAACATCACCATAAAGCACCTTAATCATGATGGCCATCAAAAAAAGCAGAAATGATATCGGAGCTTCTGCAAAGCAAACCTAGAAAGTAAAAAAGTCCACAAAGTAAGTGCTGTCAGTAACCTGGTGGCAGGTTTACTAAATGGAATGAAGTGAAAAGCGTAAAACGTTTAACAAACTCTCAGGACTTCATTATACTATAAGACACTTTAAGTAACTGCTGGGTTAACTGAACATTTCTTGGTGTAGATGAGCAGTATCGTGCAAAAGGGGGACAGTCATAAAATGAGCACAGTCCTTTTAATCGCTCTGTAAACAGAGTGAAACAATATTATTACAATACTTCACTTGTGACTTGATATTTTTGTGATTTTTAACATTTTACTCATTATTCTGAGTATTGCAATAACATATATTGTGATTTATCACCGTTTTTCAACTGCAAATAATGTTGCAGTTACATGCAATGTACTTCGTATAAAGCAGTAATTAACTGTGACAAATCACTGAAAACCATATATGTGCTGCTGTCTACACAGAGAGGAATTCACATCTTATTAATATATCAGTGCTCAACAACCTTCCTGTTCTTTAAGACCAGAGTACAAGCAGCTGAGACAGAGAGCTGTACTCTGGGAATACTACGAATGAGAGGGCTGATTTCATATATCACCATCCAGAGACAACGTTAGCAGAGCAAACTTACACGAAATAAACTCTGACCCAAAAACCATCAAACACACTTTTCTTGACAAAGTTATCTCCTAATACAAAGCAAGCTCATGGCTCAGTCACATGAGTAAAAATAGAACAACAACCTTCTTACATCCACACACACACAAAAATTACTTTTCACAGGTCAAATAACAGGAGGCATCCTTTCTGCAATAAGTCACAGTCTGACTTAGACCAACTGCCATCGCTCTCAGACTGACTGTCAAATCTGAAGGTTTTCAAAATAACTGTTGTCTAATTTATGAAGGCGGACAGATCACCAACATGTGACTATCAGTCTGAACTAGTCTGTGCCAGTGAGCATGACTCCAGGGGACTTGAATCAACAGGCTGCTAGCTGCTTGTCCTTTAGTTACATTCCTATAGAACATGAAGGCTAATATCATATTAGAAAATGTGAAAAATCCCAATAATATTATATCGTGGTGTGTCTGATGATTCCCACTTCTCACTATTAAACACAGTTTTCATGCCTGTGCTCCCAGGTTATTTAATTACATCAAAGACATAACAACAACAATAATTATTATTTTTCATTTAATAAAAAAAAATTATATAATGCTAAAGAGCTTTAAAAGAAAGAGAAAACCCGGAAAAACAAACAAACCTTTAAGTTACCCGGATTTGTTTTACAGGGTCAGTAAACGAATGAATGAGATATTGGGTGTTCCAACTTTCTGTTAAACAAACACAAACTTCATTACAGTCTTAATTAATTACCCTAATTAAATCCATTGCTTAACCCCTTGAACTACGCAGTAGACCAAACTAATGCACCTTATATTCATTGTATGTTAAAAATGTATTTAATGAGCCATAATTTAATAATAATGGAAACATAGTTGCTATCCCAGGAGGAAGTCTTATTACTTCAGCGGACTCTGAATGCTGGCTGCTGCTCCTTGCTGTTATTTTTAGGCTATAATGACACGGGATATAGAAACCTTAAATCAAAGACATAACAGACACCATATAAATCAACTCTGAAATTGCATAAACTGTACAGCTGTGCTCGGTAATGTCCAGATGACCGCTCGTCCTGGGACAGATGTTTTTACACTCCTGTCTAGACTGGTGTAGCCACACACACTAACGATAACACCACATCACGATTAAACCATCTGAACAAACAGCGATGAAGCAGTTATCACACCAAGATCTCGTGAATTCTCTTAACAGATTTCTGTCATTCCTTTCAAGATGTTCTCCAGTCTGAAAAACTGGAAGTGACCCACCTTCCAGCAGCTTGCGGACCGCTGCTTTGTGGCCAGCTCCCCCTGCGTGGCTGGTAAGGGCAGCCTCGCCCATCGTCTGAAGTTTGATTGATTTGCAACAGGCCCTGCATCGGGCAAAATGAATGTCCTGGACGTCCTTAACCAGCCAGTCCTTGTAAACATCCTTTGCGAGCCAGGAATCTTGGAATTTACATTTGCCAGGCATAGCTAGCTCTAAAAGTTAGCTGGACCGCTACCTCCCAGCCTGGAGCAACCTCTTACCTTATGTACTGCCTCGTGATGCGTTCACGTGTTCTGCGAGGATTTGAAGACACATTTACGCTGTTGCGCATGTATCTTTTGGCATTAGGTTACAAAATATCGTGAAAACGTTATAATTTAAACGCTGAGATAATTAACTTTCCAGTTATGTACCCCAAATCCCACCGAAGTAGGCAACGCAGTAGAATCAGAGTGCCTGAATTTCATCACTACAGGTGCAGCTGTGGAATTAAAATTATAATAACGGCTTTTTGTATAAAGAAGTGGGTGTAAACGCGCTTTGAAACTTCTTAGTAGGTATCCTGGTATTTTAAAATCAATGCCTGCGACTGAGGCTACTGACTGAGTTTTATCGAACATCCTTAAACGCAGCATAACATAGAAGGCTGTCCCTCACGTGCACAGAGTTCACCAATAAAAATACGATTAAACTCCTACTAGCCAATCAGCGTTGAGAAAGCCGGTAGTCCAGCTTGATTGGTTGAAACCCGGCAAGAACGACTGTACAGAAACACATGGGTACCAGACTGCCTTTTGGTGGACGTTAATAATGATCTTATAACGTTTCTGAACAGTTTCCTGCATTGGGAGCGTGTGTAAGTCGGCACGTCGAGATATTATTGTTTACCTGTTAAAGTTTTCTGCCGTTCGATATCTTATTCCTTTCCAAATAAGACAATAAGAACTCCTCCTGTTAGCTTGTTTTGCTAATCATAAGGGTAATCTTCACTCAGCATTAGACTTTAGTAAATACAACAGCAGACTGCACTACCCGGAGTCTCAGCATGGTTTACAAGTACGATTTGTAAGTTAAAACTGCATATCTTCCCTTCATAATGGTCTTAATTTTTCGGCTGCTCTCTTTAGGGGTCGCCAAAGCGGGTCATCTGTCTGTATTGCACCGTATCCCCGTCATGTGCCTTTGTTGACCGCAGTTAATCTTTAAGTGATGGAGACGGTGGCCCTGGTTGCTCCAGTTACAGCTTTGGAGTTCCTTCAGGATGCGTTTCTAATTAAAGGTTAGTGTTCAACATATAAGATAAGCAAGTAGTTATTCTTGTGATGCTCTGCTGTGTTTTTCCACAGTGCTCCTATATTAACTGCATTTTTGTTACAAGTTCTTTATTGTTAAACTTTAACTTATTCAGAACTTCTTCATTTTGTATCTGTGCCACATTCTCTTTGTAACTCTGGTTGCTGTAATGGTTAGCTTGAACTTTAGAGTTCCAAATTTTGTACATTATTGCACAATACAAACACACACAACTTTTCTTTCATGGCAGGTGAGGGTCCGGTCTTGTCGGTGTACAGACTCAAGCCTCGCCCTAAAGCCTGTGCCTCATTGAGCATTCTCCATCATTACCGGATTCATGGAATAAGACCTAGAAGGTGGGAAGCTGAGCCACCACGGAGTGCCGGTTAGTATAAGCTGTTAGTATGAGCTGTTTCTTGTTTTGTTTGATTGTTTTTACTATATGTTAATATGTCGAGAAAATTATTTACAGAGCAATACGAAAGTGAAAGAAAGGCAAGTCTGGAACCAAGAATGGGTTCTCAGCTATGATAAAAGTTAAAGTATAAGCAGTTAAAGGTATGCTTGCAGGTGTTAGATTAAATTGAGGATATACAGTATACATATTATCTTTATTAGACAATTATTTATTGCGTATTAAAAGTCTTTATTCACGTAAAGCCTCCAGCTATTTTTGCTCTAATTTTTTTAAATTTTAATATACATAAATTTTTTTGCTCTTATTCACCAGCACTGAGCACTACAGAGCCAAATGTCTGCGACCTTGCAGTATTTGGAGGCAAAGCTGTGAGGCTTGTAAGGTTCCGTGTGGAGGATGGGGAGCATCTTTGCCTGGAGGTCCTGGGTCCCCTCATGGAGCTACAGGACTGGGCTCTGGATGTCCGCTGGCTCTCTGGAGGCAAACAGCCACTGCTGTGTGTGGCTCTTGCTCATAATAGTGCTCTTCTCTTGGATGTCACAAAAGGAAATGCCGTGGTGCAGCGTTCCTGTCTGGAGGGGTGTTTGCTGTACTCTGCTCTCCTTCTGGTTCATGAATCCTGGGTGGATACTGTCATAGTTGGAGGGACTGTGTTCAATCAGCTGGTTCTCTGGAAACCCGGAGGAGGAGACAAAAGTGGCAATCCTGAAAACAAAGCTCCAATTGAAAGGCGTCTACTGGGCCACACTGGGGTCATCTTCAGTATCTCTTACCTCCAGGAGAAAGGATATTTAGCTTCAGCCTCTGATGACCGCAGTGTACGGGTGTGGGGTGTTGGCACTTTAGGTGGGCCTGAAGGTAAATGTGGGGACTTGAACCCAGTTTGTTTAAGGATCCTATATGGACATCAGGCCAGGGTGTTCTCAGTCCGTCTCTCATTAGGGAATATCTTCAGCGCTGGGGAAGATGGCACCTGTTTAGTCTGGGACTGGGCTGGAAGCGGGAAGGTGGTTCGCACGTTGAAGGGACACCGAGCAGGGGGTGTTCGTGCACTGGCAGTCAGTGAGGGAAAGGATGCGAGCTGGGTGGCTACAGGAGGGGCGGATGGAGGGGTAAGGTTGTGGAGAGTGGAGGGCAATGAGAAGAAGGAGTGTCTAGAGGAGGAGACAGTGACAGAGAAACTGACCGACCTGGAATTTCCTGGTCAAGGCCTGCCTAAAGTTGTTTGCTTAGCAGGAGAAGAGGATGGCAGTACAAGCTGGAGTCAGTGTAAGCCTGTAGTTTGCACTGACAAAGGAATAGTTTACCAATATAGTGTTGGGAAGTGGGAAGTAGTGTGGAATGGGACTCCAGCGTTTCAGTCCTACTGTGTGATGGAAACGATAACTATCACTGTGAAGGAGTCGACAACCAAAGTTGATTTGTGTGCTGTGGGAAACCTCAGTGGGTGCTTACAGATCTTTCCCATGTCTCATCCTCAGTCTGGAATTCTGCTTACATGTGGATCAGGGAAGATCCATAGTCTTATTTGGCAGAAGGAAAAAGAGCGTGCGTATTTGTTAGCTTCAGGTGCTGAAGGGCGTGTCTATCGCTGGTGTGTAGAGACAAAATTCAATGAAACCTGTTCTTTAGCTCTCAGCATCACTGCTCTACCTTCTTTCCTCCTCCCCTCTTGCGCTAAGCGCTGGCTTACAGCTGCAGTGCGCCTCCAGTGCAGGTCAAGGGAGGTGCTTTGGGTGTGTGGAGACAGGAGAGGGTCCCTGCTTCTGTTTCAGGAAAGAGAAAACTCAAAGCAAAGAAAAGGAGATGGTGAGGAAACAAATGAAGAATTACTGACAGATGGTAAACAAGGTGACGATGAGGAAGGCGGGCCTGAGGGAGAGGGGAAAGGCAAGATGGAGAATGAAGGAAGCAAAGAGGTGCATGACCTTTTGCTGCATCCTCTGAGCTGTCTGTTTGGGGTGCACGGGAAACAAGGTGTAACCTCAGTGTATGAGTACCAAGGCTTGTTTTATAGCACTGGCAGGGACGGCTGTGTTAGAGTTTTCAGTGTGCGTCCATCGTCACCAAAGAATCTTGAAGAAAGTAGAGAAGATAACGCTGCGGAAACAAGTGAAATGAATGAAGAAAGGCTTCAGCTGGAGGTTCTCAGGGTCCAGCGTGCCTGCAAAGGAATGGAGTGGCTGGAGAGGATTTTAATTCTCGAACCTGAAAAAGAAGTTGAGGAGGAAGAGGTCACCGAGGAATGTGAAGAGCTGTATAACAAAGAACACCAATTGACCGAACAGGTGGAGGTTAAAGGGGAGGAGGCAGAAGAAGAGCACTTCAGAGAAGTAGAGAAGGAAGGCAGAGAAGCCAGATTTGTAATTGTCGGCTTTCATGCAGTCCATTTTGTTGTTTGGGATCCGGTGAGGCAGGAGAGACTGTTAGCAGTGCCTTGTGGTGGGGGGCACCGCTCTTGGAGTCTGTGGCCATCCCACAAAGGAATTTGGCTCGGATATGGAGCTTTGGTGTTTATCAAGCAGGGGGCAGTCCTGGCTTCACAGCCCCCCGGAGAAGCAATGGGTTGGGATGGAAAGACAGGAAGGGCTGGAGGAACAGGACTGAAAGATGGAGTCCATGGAAGAGGAATTGGGTGTGTATGCAGGCTGGGGAGGATAACAGACTTTGGGAATGGGAATCAGGCAAACCACTGGGAGTTAGTAGTGACAGGTGGAGAGGACACTAGCCTGAGTGTCCTGGCGGTACATCCCTTTTCTGGCAATATTAAAGTTCTTTCAGTTATTACCGACCACATCTCGAGCATCCGCACGGTGACTGCGATTGTTCGCCCAGAAGGGGGGAGTGAAAGCCAGTCAAAGCCTCTCTCTGCTCTGCTTGTGTCAGCCGGTGGGCGGGCTCAAATCCAAGTTTACCGGCTGTTAATTGTTTGGGACGGGCAGAGACTGGCTCCTTCCTGTCAGGTGATCCAGGTAGCCAGTCACCGTTTGGACAAAGAGTGGGAGAGGAGGCGCAACAGACACAAGATGGTGAAAATGGACCCGGAAACAAGGCAAGTTTTTTAAAGCTAGTGTTTAGATAGCCTCTGACCTCCTGTTATTTGTTCTCTGCATATATTTTCTCTTCCTCACAAAAAATCTGTGTTCAAAGACAATCTGCTGTTTTTGTTTTGTTTGTTTTTTTTAGCTGAATATAACTTCAGTGTTTTTGTTTTTTGCATTTTAAAAAATGCACCTCTGATTACAGCTCTCGTCTGTGTGTTTTCAGGTACATGTCTGCGACAGTGGTGGATGAAGAAGTAAACCGTGTCCTCGTGGCTCTGTCCTGCAGTGACGGGGCTGTCAGGTTGGTATTTATCACAGCAAGGGTTCACACAGCTGGAATTTTCATTGAAGCTGCAGAAAAGAGAAAATCAGAGTGTCTTCGCATTGAGTTGATGCTCTCAAAAAGTATTATATTCAGTACTGGGGTGATGGTACTGGTGATTATAATAACCATAATGATGAATGTAACAGAATCAAAGGCTTTACATTTCATTTATGTGTGTCCGATTGTGTATTGTGGCAATAATGAGCTGCAATCATCAGTTTTGTATTTTCAAGTATTTTTGCTCAATTTTGCCAACATGTGTACCATGCAGTCACAGACGTTAACATATGTGTAAGGAAATATGCATTGATCCTGCAAGATCTTATGTGGTCAGAACATCAGTATAATAACCAGCATTATGAATTTTTACCTAGTT